CAGCACATCGTATCGAGTTCGGCCCAACGAAGTTTAACTATTTGTTACTTTTTGTCTTGCATGCAATTATTTAGTCTTCAGATATTATATCATAAGTAGTTGTTGTGAGTTGAAAATAAAAAATTGTGCAGTGAACTAAAGGTAAGAAAGGAGTATTATAAGAAACTTACGGTGCGGTATTCATTGCACGTGGTCGTGTTTTTTGTTTGCAGTATTCAGAATTCAGTGAACATAAGTTAATAATTGCGCCAGTTCGAGTCAAAATGGCAAATAATAACGATAAATACTTAACTTTACAACGAAGTTGAACTATTTGTTACTTTTTGTCTTGCATGAAATTATTTATTCTTCAGATATTATATCATAAGTAGTTGTTGTGAGTTGAAAATAAAAAATTGTGCAGTGAACTAAAGGAAAGAAAGAAGTCTTATAAGAAACTTTCGGTGCGGTATTCATTGCACGTGGTCGTGTTTTTTTCTTGCAGTATTCAGAATTCAGTGAACATAAGTTAATAATTGCGCCAGTTCAAGTCAAAATGGCAAATAATAACGATGAATACTTAACTTTACAACAAGAACTGTACGAAAAATTGAAAAGTATAAAGGATATGGAAAATCGACGCGAAGAATTGTACTCAATACTTGTTAGTTTTTATTCCCATTCACGAGAAAACGAACTTTATGACAGAGTCTTTATAGATTTGATGAACTGTACAAGTCTGTTTCCAAGCTCTAAAGACAAAAAACGTATTTTAAAATTTGCTTTGATGAAGCCTAATTTGAAAATAATAAAACTACTCAAGGCGAGCGGACTCGATATATACGAAGTCAAGTTAGAAGATGGATCGTCGGTACTTCATTTTTTGACTGAGAAAGCATCTCTTAACTTTGACACCTTAATTCTAAAACAACAATATCTACAGCTCATAGAATTTTTTTTGGAAAATCCACGGGAACATTACTGCGACGATCGTGGTTACACATATTTACACGCGGCCTGCATGTCTGGCAACGTGACTGCAATAAATCTACTCCTGAGCCGAGGCATGGATGTCAATCTCGACTCATTCAAGTATTCAGCGTTGCATATTGCAGCCCAGTACAGACATCTACCTGTGGTAGAGATTTTATTGATAAATGGGGCCGATCCAAACAAACAGGACGTGGAAAAGTCGACACCTCTTCATGCTCTTACGAGGCTGTGTACTTGTCAGTGCACCAACGGACTCCAGTTCTGCGATAAGAGAAAACCAGTTGATGATATAGTTCAAGTGCTTATTGAATATGGAGCAGACATCGAAGCTCAAAATCGTCATGGTGGTCGTCCTCTGGATTTGGCGGTCTCTCGTTTCGATGTGCAGCTAGTCAAATCGCTTTTGAAACACGGCGCGAGTCTTGACAATTTGAACGAGGATAAAATGTTCGGCGCAGAATTCACATCGATCGAATTAAAAAACTATCCACTAACATTGAATATCATCGAGATGGTACAATTGTTGCAGTCGGCAGGATTTAAGATGAGCTTTGATACCAGACTCAAGATGTTAAAATGTTGGATAAAAGTTCGAGGGAACAACACCGACCATCTGATTTATGAATTGACCGAACCCAGAGGAGATGTGATTGTTGGTGTGTCTATTTTTCGAACGCTATTCTTTATAGATACACTTGGGTTTTATATTAATCAAGAAGCCAAAGACTGTTTGCAACAAATAAGCGAGGACATAAAACAAAAACATCTAGATTATTCGTACTTATTTCAGCGACCTGCACATATTAATGAATTATTGTACACAGGAGTTTCGAGAATTAAAGACATCATGGTTGGTGACAAAGTTTCGCTGTATCAGATCAGCAAGATGAACTGTAGCAAGGGTTACTCGATTTTGAAAAATACGAAAATATGTCAAGTACCACCAATGGATGGTTTTTCGTGTACTTTCATAAATATCATGGTAAAAAGACACTTGGCAAATATTCTAATAAGGCCACATTTAGAATTGTTCGCAGCCGATCTCTTTATGACTGATTATTGTAATTTAAGTCTTCCTTACGTCGCTTGTCGACGATTAGCCGAATGTATGAGTCACGAGGAATTACTGCGTTTGTGCCATCAGACAGACGAAGATAAATTACAATCGAGTCCGATACGTCACAAAAGGAGATGTGACGACCACGACACCGAATCTCAACCTCGAAGTTCGCGGCAACGAGTCTCAAGATCACCTTCTCGCTGTTTAAGATCTATCACAGGATCGAATGATTCTGAGTGAATATTTTTTTTATACCGAAGCTTTTCAATGTGATAATAAAAAAACCAATTTTCAACGATCATCTTGAATAATTCTTTTTATAACCTTTATTGACTTATTAATATATTGTAAGTCTATGTGAAATTTCCTAAAAAATTGAATGACCAATTTATTTGGTGCTTATACTCTGAAACCGGTCTTAATGCAACGCTACAGGATTTTTTAAAAATGTCAAAATTCTGCGATATTTAATTATACACCGTTTGACGCGATTCGGCCCATATACATCGCCGTTGCTTACGAGTAAAAACACCGTGAAAAACTCTACGAAAAAAAACATACTGATAAAATGCCCCGAAAAAAAACACAGCTCATTAAATGCTGTGAAAAAAAACACACCTCATCGGAGCGCCACGAAAAAAAACACACCTCATTGAATGCCATGAAAAAAAAACACAGCACATTGGATACCGTGAAAAAAAACACAGCTCATTGGATGCCGCGAAAAAAAACACACCTCATCGGAGCGCCACGAAAAAAAACACACCTCATTGAATGCCATGAAAAAAAAACACAGCACATTGGATACCGTGAAAAAAAACACAGCTCATTGGATGCCGCGAAAAAAAACACACCTCATTGGACGCCACGAAAAAAAACACAGCAGAATAAAAACGCAACAAAATTCGATTCGGTGTGTTTTTTTTTCGCGGCATCCAGTGAGCTGTGTTTTTTTTCGCGGCATCCAATGAGCTGTGTTTTTTTTCGCGGCATCCAATGTGCTGTGTTTTTTTTCATGGCATTCTATGAGGTGTGTTTTTTTTCGCAGCGCTCCGAAGAGGTGTGTTTTTTTTCGCAGCGCTCCGATGAGGTGTGTTTTTTTTTCGCAGCGTTCCAAAGAGGTGTGTTTTTTTTCATGGTATCCAAAGAGGTGTGTTTTTTTTCACGGCGCTTCGATGATGTGTGTTTTTACTCGTAAGCAACGGCGACATAATGCCATAATCCAATATAAACACGCGCAGTCCCATCCTTTGGTTACACGCGAATTTCTTTCTATTATTACCGAGCTATGCTCTGCTCCATGCACTTTTGCAGTCATACAGTCACTTCATAAATAAAACGTCGCTCTCTCGGCCTTCGATATACTACGCAGGGGCAAGCCCAGCCCTCTCCGAGACCTCTTCACACTCTCTTCCGATCGGATGATTCGCCACTCGCTGCGACGTCGAGCCCCGTTATAGCGCTACAGAACCCCACGCACCTCATCGCTGACACAATTCATTTTTCATCACCGCCTCACGCATCATCAACTCACTTCCATTTCAAATCGACCTCGCCAACAGTTCCATCGATTATCGCGCGTCTCTTCACAGTTACTTCTTATTCTGCCTTGATAAAAGGCAGACTGGATCACTCGTTGCCACCACGAAAACATCGAGCCGATTCCAACCCCACTCATCAACGAGCTGGTTCTTTGGCCGTAACGAGAGAGAATCTTACTCTCGCCGATTGTATCTGCTATCTCGTGTTTTTCTGTTCTATCCTAGTTATAAGTAACAATGTTATTCTGATCTTCGGCACCTGAGCCACATGGGGTTTCACCCGACGGTCCAATCAAATAAATAAAACAAACTCAAACTCAAACTCTCTTTATCTCTCTCGAGCGATGACGTTGAAAGATTTTCTCCGTATTAATATAGCCCTGGCGCGCAGCTATGGGTCGAGTATGCATTTTCAAGTCCATAAGGTAACCGAGGCTTTTTATAGGTTCTTTGGTGTGCTGAATCGATTTAGCTTGGTTACCAAGCGTTAAAAATTGTACTTTCAAAGTTATTAACAAATTTATTGTTTATAACTGAAAAAATTTGTTTAAAAAAATCAGAAAAAAATCACACGTATTCTTTGACTAATTCTAAGATTTTTTTGTTCTTTGCATTTTCTCGTGTGAGACGTTTCTTACCGAGTTAGAAAATCGCAAAGATTAAAAATACGATTGATTTCTGAACAAATTCGTGCTCCTTTTATTCTTGTAAATTGTGGTTAATTTTAATATTCATTAGAAAATTTGCCGCACCGATATTTTTCATCTTCACGTAGCTACCCGTTTTACATATCGATAAATCTTACGACCACACTCTCTATTATCTATAAAGTATATATTTACGGGCTAATAATACGATTAGAAAGCATTATTTAGCGACGTTTTTCATATCTACAATAATGACAAAGCAGATCTAGTCGTGATTTTTACCTCGTCATCTAAAGCTTTGTACGCGAACAGTTAAACTATTTTTAATCAAATAAAAAATAATAGTAAAACGATTAACATAGTAATATGCTAAGATCTATCGATTATCCTTTTGACTCCTTCTAGGCGCAAGGAATCACGAAACGAAAGAGAGAAATCAATCGCGTATAATCGAACGGAAATCGTTTACATAGATTTAGCCGCAAAAACAAAATTAAAAAAAAACACACGAAAAAAAATACCATAAAACAATTTCGACCCGAGCGATAAGATTTTCAGACACGCGAGCACTCGAATCTTGGATTAAATATATTATATCACTCGATCGCGCAGCCGAGCTGTGACATTGGCCGCTTGGACTCGTTCGCTACTGTGCATTTCACCTGTGTGTTCGGAGCTCGCACTGTGCACCCCCTGTGTGTAGGTACTAGAGCGCTTGCAAGTTGAACTGCGTGCGCCCGAAAAATCATACAAAAAAAAAAGTTAGAATCAAAACCTGCATAGCCGAGCACAATCATGGAACCCAAGCACGCGCTGCACAGTGGCTACTTCCATCCGGTCCTGCGACAATGGCAATCAGCGAACGTCGACGTCAAGCCGGAAAACCTGATGCTGCCAATTTTCATTCTGTGAGTATATTCGGAAGATATCGCGAAGTGATGCGGCATTAAAGTAACGCGAGGCGTACGTTCTGGCGTGCACATAACCTCCACTCCGTAGTGCAGACGATACGTCATAACACACGGTAGTAATAACGCGCATTCGAAATCGCGAGAAATCGTTGGCGCGTGCATGTGCGTCGATATGCGGGTGAATCGTTGCAAAACGTCACGCACGTTTGAGGCATTTCGAGAAGGTTTCGAGATTATTACCTGATAACGATTGGTTTACAGCTGATCGTATTATGTCATGTGTTGTATGGTATTACGAAACTTGACGTTTGGCGCGTAGCTTTGAAAGCTGATGCAATTTCTCAACTAATGTGTATAATTTTTTTTTTTTTTGTATCGTACAGAGATGAACCAAACTCGATCACCGAGATCCAGAGTATGCCCGGTGTCAAAAGGTATGGAATGAACAAGCTGAAGGGTTTTATCGATCCTTTGATTGCAAAGGGATTGAAGTCGGTTCTTCTTTTTGGCGTTTCTAATAAATTAATCAAGGTACATGATTACTGGATCATTATGAAAATAATTAAAAGAATAAAAAGAAAAGTTTACGAGCAAAATAATCTGTTAACAGGATGAAAATGCTAGCTCTGCTGATTGCCCCAATAATCCCATCATCCAAGCAGTGCCGTTGCTAAGAAAGTTGTATCCACACTTAATTATTGCCTGTGATGTTTGCATATGCCCTTACAGTAGCCATGGTCATTGTGGCATATTGAACTCTAATGGAACAATTCAGAATGAAAAAAGCATACAAAGGATTTCTGAGATTGCAGTTGCTTATGCCAAAGCTGGTAAGAACCACATTATTTATATGGTTATCATGTTTATCATCATTAGTCCTCACATAGTAAGTTAAATTATTGGTAACTTATTCAAAATGTCTTGATCACAGGAGCACACATTGTAGCACCATCTGATATGATGGATGGTAGAATAAAAGCAATAAAGCTAGGTCTTGCATCAGCTGGCCTATCAAATCAAGTAGCAGTGCTCTCTTACGCTGTAAAATTTGCTTCTGGATTCTATGGACCCTTCAGAGATGCTGCTGGATCATCACCTAAATTTGGAGACAGACAGTGCTATCAACTTCCTTCTGGTAGTACAGGATTAGCTGCCAGAGCTGCTGTACGTAGTACTCACATTGAAATCAAAGCAAAAATTTTCTGTTTTTAAGTCAAGATTTTTTACAGGCAAGAGATGTCGATGAAGGAGCTGATATGCTCATGGTAAAACCTGGTCTTGCATACCTCGATGTTGTGAGACAAACAAAAAATGCATACCCAGAGTATCCCATGTTTATTTATCAAGTATCGGGTGAATATGCAATGCTGTATCATGGGGCCAAAAATGGGGCGATCAACCTTGAGGCTGTTCTGAAAGAAGTGCTACTGAGCATGAGAAGAGCTGGTGGAGATGTTATCATAACATATTACACTCCATTAATATTAGATTTATTGCAACCAAAAGCCAATTTATAAAATAAATTGTTAGCCAATTCAATTTAGTGCAATTCTCGTACTTAGCTTAAATTTAATGACTGGGTTTAATTTGGTGTATTAGAGTATAAATGCATGGGTATATGACGTCACTTAATTTTGTTTGTAAAAATACTTAATGTTACTTAAATGAATTGGTTCCAAACCAATGCACATGTTATTCTTGAACAAAAGAGTTACTACGACTTGTTTTCTGCGAATTGTTTTGATTTTCATGCACTTTGTAAACGAGAACCTGTGATAAATAAAGACCTAAGATTCGTTTCTCTGCGCGCTGCCTCGGATCGCTCCATAAAATCGAAGCGATGCTGTGGCTCGCTCGGTGAAGCGAAAATCGCAACGAAAAGAAAATCAAATTAGTACAATCGTATTTTTATTACACTCCCCGTTAAAGTACGGAGAAAAGTGTGCCGGTATCGTAAGTACGGAATATTCGCGCGCGATCGATTTTACGGGAGAGAAATTGGAGATGTGATGTGGCCTTTCTCTCCAAACTCTTTCTAGAAAAATCATCGTTCGGTATGATGCGGAGGCGTATACCTATATACACTTGCGCTGTACAGGCGCGCCCGTGAGAAAAGTTGACATTCTTTCTAAATTATTCAACGACCGAATTACGTGTACCGATGTACCATGGAGTAAAAGCGCTCCTTTCCAAACGCTCCGTATATTAATTTCGTCATTCGATCAGATTAGATTAAAAATCAAGGCGTACATGAAAAATTTGCACTTTCGTACACTCCCGTATGCCCATATGGCGTATACAATAATAATCTCCATCTAATGCATCGCGTCGCTCTTTTATCTATCCGTTTAAACCAATTGCACTGATGAACGATCGACGCAACGGTTCCGTTATCTCCGCGCTCGAAAACATAAGCGAAACGTCGAATTAGAAATTTCGAGTCGATTTGTCAAATTACTGTATAAATTGTGATTTTTGTCGTCCACGCAAACGTCAGGCACGCGTTATCGACGCGCGTCATCCACGTATAACACATTTACGTTATACCTGTATAGCAATGTGTAATGTACGTAACACTGCATACACGTGTGCGCGTGAATCGAGGCATTTATGTACGATCGGAAGCATTACACGTTTATTGGATCAACCTCGGAAATTTTGACAACGTAAACACAACAGTCTGGCGCGGAGGCACATACCGTAAAACAAAAACACTGACGTGTATATCTTCGATGTGATGTACCGGTGCACGATTCTTCAAGGCGAGCCGAGCCACCGTTCACCCTCTCATCTTCAGCTTCCGTCGCGATTACATATGTTTGAATCGCGACGCCGCGATCGAGCTCTGACACATATTGCGTACGAAAAACGTCGTCGAATCTTCAAAGCTGACGTGGGCCAATGTCGACCGGCCAACGTGTTGCGAACACGCGGACGAATCCCGGCCACGAACTTTCCGTTGGCGCCGGCCAATCGGGCAGAGCCACGACTCGGCGCGCCAGCCGCTTGCCCCCCCGCTCACCTGCCAGGCGGTATAGTGTTATATAGCCGCGCTGCGCCAATTTTCCAATACCAGTTCTCAATCCGCGAGCGACACAGATACACCGCAGTGTACACGGAACGCGAAAACTCCCCCCCGCGCCGCGCTCTCAACGCGTTTGTTCGACTTCGATCGATCTCGCACACACAACAAGGAAAGGAAGAAAATACACGGTGATAATTGAGTGTTCGAGGTAAGTGCGATAAAAATTGCATCAACGATGTAAAAATTAATAATAAGTCGTGTTCGCGAAAAGGTCCATTGTGTCGTCGTCGTATGCTTACCCGTGTGGCTCCGAAAGATTCTTCTCGACTTCGGCTTCGCGTATGTTCGCCCGTTAACAATGATTCATCTCCTGTCTACGCGATAAACTGCAATTGTGAATTGTCGAGTGCCGATTCTAGTCTAATAATTTTGTGTAATTACTCTTTTTCTCCCTGTAAACGGGCGATAGATTCGGGATAGCGGCGAGTTTTAGCACAAACGTGGCAAAGTTCCCCAGACTGACACTCACACACACGCACGTATACACAAGCAAATACGCGTCGTCGTCATCTCTAAGCTTTCTCATTATTACCCTTGGCTTTTTTCATCCACAATCTGTCGCGCGTTGTTGCGAGCAAAATTGATCGATACCCCAACATATTGTTACGCTTCTCGGACACATCCGTACACGTCAATGTCTATGTATCTCCGAGTGTCTACGTCTGCGCGCGTGTAAGAGCCTGTGTGTGTGTGTGCACAAGCGATAGATATATACACACAAACATATATATATATAGTAGGTAGTACTTTAATCGCGGAGCGGTTATGGGTCGTCGTCGGCTTTTTCTGGAATTTTCGCGATTGGCCGTTTTACCGTTATTAGCAGCTCGTCGCCGCGCTCGATGCTGACGCTGCTGCCTGCTGCCAGCCTGCTTACGCTCCGACAGCACGCAAGTTCATTCACATTTCGCGCTGTGTGTGTTCGAGAAGCGACGTGGCGAATTATTATTGTGTTAGCAGCAGCAAAGTACCGTACGCCACACGTCTGCCGCGTCTCTGTGTATATTATAGTACGTGGGTTATGTGTCGTAGTAGTACACATACAGTGATTTGATTTCGTTTTTTTCGCGATATACACCGCAACGACTCGATTGACATATTGTCGTTGCAAAAAGAACGTCGTCGCTCATCTTCGACCTTTTTTTTTCTCCGTTGCAGCTCAACGATAAAGTAATAAGATAAACAAGATGAAGGGAGCATTCCGAGCTCTGGCCCTGCTGGGCTTCTGCGCGGTCGTCGCCTTGGCCGCGACCGAGGACAAGAAGGAGAAGGAGAAGGAGGACATCGGCACGGTGATCGGCATCGATCTCGGCACCACCTACTCCTGCGTGGGCGTCTACAAGAACGGCCGCGTCGAGATCATCGCCAACGACCAGGGTAACCGCATCACGCCGTCCTACGTGGCGTTCACCGCCGACGGCGAGCGTCTCATCGGCGACGCCGCCAAGAATCAGCTCACCACCAATCCGGAGAACACCGTGTTCGACGCCAAGCGTCTCATCGGACGCGAGTGGACCGACAAGACCGTCCAGCACGACGTCAAGTTCTTCCCGTTCAAGGTCGTGGAGAAGAACAGCAAGCCCCACATCAAGGTCGACACCAGCCAGGGCGAGAAGATCTTCGCCCCGGAGGAGATCTCCGCCATGGTGCTGGGCAAGATGAAGGAGACCGCCGAGGCCTATTTAGGCAAGAAGGTCACCCACGCCGTGGTCACCGTGCCCGCTTACTTCAACGACGCTCAAAGACAGGTGAGTCTATCTCTATCTCTCTCTCTCTCTCTCTCTCACTCTCGAGATTGTGCATTTTCTGACAGTGACTAATGACATTTTTTTGTTATAAATAGGCCACTAAAGACGCTGGTGTCATCTCCGGTTTGAACGTCATGAGAATCATCAACGAGCCAACTGCCGCTGCAATCGCTTACGGCCTCGACAAGAAGGAAGGCGAGAAGAACGTGCTGGTCTTCGATTTGGGCGGCGGCACCTTCGACGTGAGTCTGCTGACCATCGACAACGGCGTGTTCGAGGTCGTCGCGACCAACGGCGACACCCACTTGGGCGGTGAAGACTTCGACCAGCGCGTCATGGACCACTTCATCAAGCTGTACAAGAAGAAGAAGGGCAAGGACATCCGCAAGGACAACCGCGCCGTGCAGAAGCTGCGTCGCGAGGTCGAGAAGGCCAAGCGCGCCCTCAGCGCCAGCCACCAAGTCAGGATCGAGATCGAGTCGTTCTTCGAGGGCGAGGACTTCTCCGAGACGCTGACCCGCGCCAAGTTCGAGGAGCTGAACATGGACCTGTTCCGCAGCACCATGAAGCCCGTGCAGAAGGTCCTGGAGGACGCCGACATGAGCAAGAAGGACGTCGACGAGATCGTGCTCGTCGGTGGCTCCACTCGTATCCCCAAGGTGCAGCAGCTCGTCAAGGAGTTCTTCGGCGGCAAGGAGCCGTCACGAGGCATTAACCCCGACGAAGCCGTCGCCTACGGTGCCGCCGTACAGGCTGGCGTGCTCTCCGGCGAACAGGACACCGACGCCATCGTGCTGCTCGACGTCAATCCATTGACCATGGGTATCGAGACCGTGGGCGGTGTCATGACCAAGCTCATCCCCCGCAACACCGTCATCCCGACCAAGAAGTCCCAGATCTTCTCCACCGCCTCCGACAACCAGCACACCGTCACCATCCAGGTCTACGAGGGTGAGCGTCCCATGACCAAGGACAACCACTTGCTCGGCAAATTCGACCTGACCGGCATCCCACCGGCGCCGCGTGGCATCCCCCAGATCGAGGTCACCTTCGAGATCGACGCCAACGGCATCCTCCAGGTGTCCGCCGAGGACAAGGGCACCGGCAACCGCGAAAAGATCATCATCACGAACGACCAGAACCGCCTGACGCCCGACGACATCGAGCGCATGATCAAGGACGCCGAGAAGTTCGCCGACGAGGACAAGAAGCTCAAGGAGCGCGTCGAGGCGCGCAACGAGCTCGAGTCCTACGCCTACTCGCTCAAGAATCAGCTGGCTGACAAAGAGAAGCTGGGCTCGAAGATCAGCGACGCCGACAAGGCCAAGATGGAGGAGGCCATCGACGAGAAGATCAAGTGGCTCGAGGAGAACCAGGACACCGATCCCGAGGAATACAAGCAACAGAAGAAAGAACTGACAGACATCGTCCAGCCGATCATCACGAAGCTGTACCAGGGCGCCGGCGGCGTACCGCCCACCGGCGGCGAGGAGGCCGAGGATGAAGATCTCAAGGATGAATTATAATCTAAAGCAGATCTTTAAGTTTAAAATATTATTAACAAATTTACAATAAGGAGTTAACGTATTGCGAATATGTCGCCTCCTGTTTAGACTGACTATAAAACACACGAGCCCTGTTGTAAAACATTCGGCCGAGATTCGTCAACCGGATCTCGACCGGATTTTCTGCGTGTTATTTTTCCAAGCTGTAAAATTCGCTCGATTTTTCGATTTGTATTTTTCAGCGCATAATTGTATGTGAGATTTGTCTGGCCTGAACTTTTTTCAGATAAGAATTCTTGTTTTGTAAATTTAGACACGTTATCTGACAAGGGACGGCCGGATTTTGCTATTTAATAGATTTAAAAAATGGGTATGCATGAGTTTTGTAAGCGTGAGTGTTTATTTTTTGCGTCGTCAAGTTTTCACTAGAATTTTAAGTACGTAAAGCCGAATCGTCTTTGTAAACAAAAAATTTAAAACGATAAAAAAAAAGAAAACTTATGTAAATATTAACTATGATTAGAAGAACGGACTTTTTTAAGTCAAAATCAATAAATTCAATCACTTTGACAAAATGTTATTATTTATTTACTTGAAAAAAAAAACTCCTTGGATTGCCAAGTTCATGCTTACCGATTTAATTTAAAAAATCTACAAGTCGAAAATTCGCGAGTCTTTGAAATTCACATGCGAAAAATGAAACAATCCTTAACTTTGTGCTAGTGTATCGGTCTCGAGACAAATCGTTTTATTTGTAATAGATAAAGTACTCGTTGGAATCTTTCAGCGAGGGAATATTTATAATTTTTTCTTCCTGCATGCTGTGATGATGATGATGATGATGGCGGATGAGAGTGCGAGCACTGCGAGAGAATTTCTTATAGCAAATTGTTGTAAATGCGTGAAAGTTGAGCGAAACGTTTACGTGAAATTAGGTACTTGTCATTTTTATCATCTTATTATTCGATGTATGCGTTTGACGAAACTGCCTTACAATTACAGTTCAATGAGTTATGGTATAGTTTTTTGATATTGCCGAGCGCAATTTGTCCATTATTAGTTTTTTACGAAAGTGAATTGCGTTTTTTTTTACATTTGTTAACGGTTTGATTTATTTTTGAAATAGTTTTGTTTAATTATGTGCAATTGTGTATCAATAAATGTTTTGAAGTGACATAAAATTGAGATTTTTGAAATTTAATTTCGAAATCAAATAAAATTCCCCTTTTTCTTCCAAAAAATTGTTATATATTTGCTTTGAAATTCATTAAGCACATTAAAAATATTTACAAGACTCGAATATTACATCCACACGGGTAAGATCGTAAAAAGTTTTAAATATTTTAAAAATTAATACTTCATTTAATATTATCGTATAATACATATAAATTCTTCGAATAAAACAAGCGTCTTAACAGTAATAAATAGATTTTTTTTGTTTGTTTGTTTTCTTTTTTTTTTTGTTCAATTGTTGCGCTGACTTATAAAACTAGTCCCTCGTAAGACTGAGTCTCGGCCTCGGGCGACTCGATGCGATTCTTCAGGTGGTCCAGGGTGTTGGCGAAGTGCTTCTGTATCTGCTCGGTCTCCTCGCTGATCTCGAGATTCGGCAGCTCGTCCTTGATCTTGGATATGACCTGATTGAGTATCTGCACGGTGACGGCCGTGTTGCCCTTCTCGTAGAAGTAGATGTAGTGATTGAGCAGCTCGATGTAGAGCTGCACCTGCACCGAGATGTCCATGCACTGATTGGCGATGCGTATGCCCTTCTTGAGGCAGTCGAGGACCTTGTTCTTGTCCTGCATCTCCTTGCCGTCGGTGCTGAGCGACTTGCCCGACCAGAAGATGTGCGAGCAGGTGGCGACGCCCCGGCACTGGTCGGGCTTGCGCAGCAGCTTGCTCGCGTACAGGGCGCACTGGTTGCGCACCGGCTCGGCGTTCTCCTCGCCGAAGCAGTTCATCTGCTCGAACGTGGCGATGATCAGGGTGATGGCGGCGAACTGCGCCTTCGAGTCGCTGATCTCGTCCTCGTAGATGGAGAACGCCTGGCTGATGAACTCGTACGCGACCATCTCGAAATTGTCGAATCTTATCTCGCCGATGGCCAGGGCGCCCTGGAGGAACAGTCGCAGAGGCAGCTCGGCGAGTTCCACCTTCAGCAGGGCGGTGATGGTCGAGTGGCAGAACTGGAAGATCTTCTGGCACTTCTTCTGCCACATGTCGTCCTCCTTTTGCAAGTTTTTGTAAGTGAAAGCCAGCTGGTAGGCCTGAAAAACAATCGGAGGAAGAGTGTATCTGACCCTTTTGCTGCCACCCGTGACAAAGTGCTTTCTCGCTGTGCTGAGAATCATGTACTGCTCATCTGCCACTTCTGACTTGAAGTAGTGAATCAGTCTACCCAGCAGGCCTTGCTCTTCTGCGAATTCTTCAGGATCATCTTCAGCCGTATGATCCTGTTGGTCTTGTATGAGTGGAGCTATCATTAGTAAAATAGCATCCACCTGATCGGGGGACGGTATCAGAGTTTCATTTTCTAAGATATTTGTGACTATGTAGGTGGCCAATAATTTTCTACCTTCGTAATCAAAGTAACCCAGTAGAGGCCTGTAGTTTTTCAATTTCAATACAGTTAGCATATTTTTATAGTTATCAATTGGAATTTTTAGTAGCCTAGACAGTTCTCTGGACACTGCGCTGTTGTACTCTAAAGTTTCTGTGTTGATTTTCTGGAAAATTTGATGAGTATTCAGTAATACTTTATCAACGTAATCAACTCTGTCCGGATAACACTTATGAGCCAAGTTTGTTAGAGCCACTTGAAGAGATATAATGTCTTCCAACGGCATGTCTTGTCTGGTTTGAACGATAGTGGATACCTGGTCACTGAACACATCGAATAGCTGTATGTCCTGTGGAATACCCGACAACTGGTTAGGGCTCCCGGGTCCACCAACTCCATCTGATCTTTGGCTAAAAGCAGCAAGCCTGTCGATGAGAGATATTATAATATTCTTTATATTGACTCCGTTCTGAAGCTCGGCGCAAGATTTTAAAAAAGCATTCAAAGTTTGCAAGTGGAATTCATCGGGGAATACTTGAATGATACACTCCATGAGATACTCTTGGGCGATAGCGTCTCTACAACTGACAACTTGCTCCAAAATACCGGGCAGCACTAGCTTTGTATATTTATCCAACGTAACGGACTCTAGCTGACTAAGCCTTACTAAATTCGTCCCAACCAGGATCCTCAGCTCCTCCCTCTCTCTCTCTCGTCTCTCGCGCTCTCGGCTGTGTCCCTGGTGCTGCATCCTCACCCAGAGCTTGTTCATCTCCGCGAAATTCATCAGGATGAACTCGACGCTGTCGCGGACGGTGCCCTCGTCGGTGCCGCTGTCGTCCGGATTGTCGGGCAGTATGTTCCTCGTGCACTGCAGCAGGTAGTTCCTGAGGAAGAGGCCCCTGAGCGGATGCTGCACGCCGCGGCACATCTCGACGAGGTCGCGCAGCAGGTCGCGCTTCAGGCACGGATTCGTCTTGATGTAGACGATGCCCACGGTGATGAGCAGATAGAGCCTCGGCACGATGTTGCCGGCGTACTGCACGAGCTCGTACAGATCCGTGACCTTGCGGCCCTTCTGAAACTCGTCCAGCAGGTAGATCTCGAGGTGGCGCAGCTCGTCCGTGATGGCCATGTAGAGCTCGTAGTAGCTCTTGGGGCTGAGCAGCGACGTCCTGAGCTCGCCCAGCATCGTCGAGGCGTGCTTCAGCGCGTCCATGAGCTTGGACTTGTCGAGGCAGTGCTTCATCTGCAGCGCCTGGACCTTGACGACGCCGATCGCGTCCTCGAGCAGCTTCTCCTGATCCTCGATCCCGGCCATTCTCGTACTTCTGTGGACGATAATCGCGTGTACCAGAAAAAAAAAAAAAGTAAACGACGCGCGTCGGAATCGGAGCCTCGAGTTCGGAAAGCTTGCTTTGTTTTTCCGATCTATCAACGAGCGGTTCGCTTTGACACTTGGATCTGCAGCAGCAGCAGCTTAGTCACTGACATTCCGCCACGGAGATTCGGAACACTAAATTTTGCACCAGAGTGGCGTATGTGTACGATGTACATACACACATAACCTGCTGTTGTAATTGCACCGTGACACTCTGACAAGTGACAAGACACATTACTGCTGGCAGTAACACGGGGGAGGGCTTTACAACTTGCAAGTTGTGCAGATTCCGCGTACGAAAGTTTGAAAAGATGAAAATGGATGCTATTGGAATCTAATTATCACTGTGGCTTCGACATTTTTGTTCCTGTGATTTCGAGTGATTGTTTTATTCTTGTATTAGTAAATGGAGATTTTGGACGATTGATAATGAGCAGTATAAGGCCAAAATGAAGTTGATCAAGTTCGATGTGTTGATTTAATTTTTGTTTCTTTGATAAATATACAAACAGGTGAATCAGTGTCATTTCCGAATCAAACGGCGGTGTGTCGCAATAATTTTTCTTTTGGTTCTACGCTCGATCGCGCGACAAATGAGTCGTTCGCCAAACGGGCAGCTGTTCCTTGTATTGGTTGATATCGGTGATGTAGTATTCCTCGGGCCTCGGAGTCAGAGTTTCTCTTTCGTCCGTCAAGTACGTCAATGAATAATCTTCGGTTAGGGACGGCTGAGGATTATTGACAGTCTCCGTTTTTTCGTCGGTTTTATCTTCTGCTTTATCGTCGGTTTCATCATCTGTTTCTTCGTCTGTAAAAAAAGTATCGTTTAACATGAATCAAGTCAATGATACAAGGTGAGGTTTTTCAAATCTGTACTGTACCTGATTTTTTGACTACAAGCGGTAAACCCACATTTCCGACTACTTGGACCGTTAACTTTTTGAAATTACACCCACCAACGGAATGATCGATTAACCATTTTAAAACTTGAGGCGCTGTCAATTTTTTTATAAGCTCTATTTCTCTGGTGAGTCTGTCGAACATGTAATGTCCCGATCTAATTTCACCCCAATTTCTGTCGACTTCTTCCTTCAACTGGATATCGTCGATCATCTTCAATTTTATGAGAGATTCCTTTGAAAGTTCAAAATCTTCATCTTTCATGGTTTTGAACATGTTGATCATATCTTGGATAAACTTTTCAATCCTTTCATCTACGTAATCCACTTTGAAATTATTGGCTTGGGTGCAGACTGTGACAGAATAACCCAAAACATTGTAAGTGTCTTTGAATTGACAAAAAACGTGATAACCAAGTTGCTCTATCGTTCTCAATTGATTGAACACTGGTTCATCCATATTTAACTAAAAATATACAATAAAAACGCATGAGTATATTAAATATTCAATCAATAAAAAATGAATAAAATTATTCACCAATAAAAATTCAATGAGAACTGATAGTTCTAGATTTGACAATCCAGATTGATAGTAGTTTGTGACAACTGAATTCACATCCATTTTATTGAAATTTTGAACTCTGCAACATTTTTCTCCATTTGGAATTTCATGCACTTGTATGCGTGGGAAAGTGTTTGGCAAAATGGGAAGATAATTTAAAGGTTCAAAAGCCTCGAAAATAGTTTTTAGTGCCTGCTCTTTTTTCATGTTGCCTTGAATCAAAGATTTCACATAAAAATGGTCAGTGAAATCTTTCGCAAATACTAAGAAATCCTCGTACGTCATTTCTCTAGCAGCTCGATGACAGTCAAGCGATGTTGACCCACCAGTAGTTAGAATTGACAGTCTCACTTCCCTAAAAAATAATAGAAAAATGTATTAGATTTAAAAATGTAAATAAAACTAAAAGTTTGACAAAGAATACTTACTTTCCAAGTTGAGATGGTTTAATGAAAGTGTTATAGTAATCTTTTATAACTTCCTCCTTAATAATATTAAAAAGTGCTTCTGTAACACCATTGTGGCAGTTAGCTATGTGCTTTAATACTGTTTTCAATAAAAGCTGTAATAAAATAATTATATAAGTTTAGTGAAATCGATAAAATAATAAATAAATGTATCCAAAAGTACTCACTGGTAATTTCTGATTAAAACCATATACACATATACATAAACCTTTGTCACCTATATCTATTGAGTAATTTAATTCAGCTGCTGAAGCCTCGTAAACTTCTTCAATGAGTAATTGTTTAGTTATTAAACAAAACATTCTTATCAAGGCAGAACTAGAAAAATAAAATTAATTGAGAAAAGTTATTCTTGATTATAAATAATTTCTAGAAACTTACGATTTCGGAGAGTGCGTGGCAAAAGGAGTTATCAAGTATGTATAAACGTAGGCCTCTGGAAGTCGGAATTTTGGATCTGGTCTATACCAAATTTCAACTTTTTCATCTCTATGAATTTTTTCGGGATAAGGTTTTACGTCCTCGGGTAAATCAATGAGCGTAAAATCATCTGTTATATAAATATTTGGATTTGGTAAATGAAATTCAGGGTAAGGTTCAATTTCTGCCATATCTTGTTTCCACTTTTCAGTTATTTCTACACATTGATACCGCGTTTGAAAATAAGGTTCAACCATGTCAAATTCATCTTCATTATACTTCTTGTCAAATGTGAGAATATTTACATCAGCTGGGTTTAGAGCATCGAGACACTCTTGAATAACATCTGCATCGTAATTGAACGTTAAATTCGGTCCTTCTATGTAATGGATCGATGGATATAACTGCATATTTTCACATAAATTTTCTACATAATCACATGGTTCAGTTTCATCTGTGAACCTAAAGTTAATGCCCTGAATCTGTTGAATTTCGTCAAACAACCTCTTATTTGGTCCCTCTCGTCGTAATAAATTTATGTACGAAAAGACTGCTTCTAAGACTTTATCAAAATTTTCTTGACCTTCACGAGTGAGTAATAAACTGAGACTAAAAAGTGCATATAGTGAACTGTGCTCAAAACCGCTCTCACTGTTACCGCTAAAAATATCAAGGCACCACATTTTTTTACGAAGGTAACTAATCAATGAACCTTTCCCTTCGTGGCCAATTATCCATGACAAGTATTGATGCGGTTTAATTTCATATAAGTGGTGCAGTGATGGCATCACCCATGTCAACTCAACCTTGAATTAAAAAACAACAATTTTCATGAATATAAATGAACTTTGAGGAGAAAATTATTATTCAAAATTTCTTACTTGACAAACATCTTTGATTGGTCGAATTTTGTAAATTTTTCTAAAAGCATCAGTATCAAACGAAGTTCTACCATTGAATTCACTAAAATCTTCAGAAGGCAAATTGTTTGTAGGTACATCACAAAAATATTCTTTGACATACTCCTCCAAAGTGTCTAATGAATTTTGTGACTAAAATAGAATTGTATTTTAATGAAAAATTAAAACTGGTGATTTTCTGTCAAATCAAATTCACTTACCTGAACGGCTAGTGTCATTCGATGAGCACTGTAATGTCTTTCTCTAAAAGCATGTAAGCTAGAATAAAGCTTGTCTTCTTCAACATTATCACGTAGAGTTGTTAAATTTCCCCAAGCAAACTTTGCTGCTGGATGGTCCGGTTGTGCGAAAGTGCAGAACAACTGATCCTTTCTGTTAGAATCGTGTGTAAATGCCATTCTAAATTCTTGTAAAAGTACATTATGGATTATGAACTATTAAAATTATCACATAAAGAATAAATTTAATTTTTTTCTCATTCAAGTTTAGTTTAATTACCACTTTCAACAGACTCCCTTTCCCTGGAAATAGCATCTCTGTTCATTAAGGGAGAAATGAAAAATTGTGCGAAACGATCCATGGCTGGGAACAAATGTTTCTCTGGAATTTCAAAGTAAAAAGTGGTTTGCTCACAATCTGTGCAAGCGTTATTTGAACCTCCTCTTTTCTTTAAAAACTGATCCATCTCATTCTCCTAAAAGTAAATGCGGTGATTATAATAAATCCAAAATTAAGATTTTAGAACTTTTTCAAATAACAAACCTCTGGATACTTCTTGGAACCCATAAAGACCATATGTTCCAAAAAGTGTGCTAATCCTGGAATTTCTGGTGGATCACTGAAGCTTCCTACACCCACACACAGAGCACACGCTGCCTGTGACAAAAATCATTTGAGTTATACTAACATTTGAATTTTATGTCGTTTATGACAACATTACCATTTTTTCTCCTTCTTCTGAAGACTTTTTGCCCTTCTTTTCAACGCCACTTTCTTCATCTTCTTCGAAACACGAACCTTCACTTTCATCATCCCCTTCTTCATCTGTCTTATCCTCTTCATCGTGTTCTTCGTCATCTTCTGTCTCTTCATCCGAAGTAGCAGCTTTTCAAAAATATTTCTCATTTAAAAAACAACTCTCAAATTGTGCAACATTTTAAGAATATATTTTATACCTTCTTTTCCCTGACTTTCTTGTGCACCCGAGGGATCTGATATCAGCAAGGCCACCAAACCATTTGGCAATTTAATGACTCTAGAAGAAAGTAAACACAAATTTCCAAGTAAAACTTTCCGCTCTCGGTTTGAAAAAAATTGACCGAATCCCCTGCGAAAATCTCACCTGTATTCCTTTTTATCGCTCTCGGACTTGAACGGAGCCTCGAGGTACTCGACCTCGATCTTCCTCTCGGCTTTCTTCTCGCCCATGTCGTCAGACTGCTCGGTCATTTTATTCCTTTTGCACTCGCCGAAATCTGACGTCCCTTGCAGGTTAGAAATTTTGCGTTTCTGCAAAGACGGTTGGTTACTTCGCGGCGGCTGCTGTTGCTGCTGCTGCGTCGGTGGCAGCGGCGGCGGCGGCTGCTGCTGCTGATGATAATGCTGCTGCTGCTGCTGCTTGCCGACGTCGATCAGCTTCTTATTACTCTTGAAGAATTTTTGCAACAAACGTTTTGACATTATACACTGTGGTCCGGTGTTGTAGCGTGCGCGACTCGCGTGTCAGCAGGCCGAAACATTTGACGATTCGATCCGCGATTATAAAGATAACGTTCTTTTTCGAACACAGTCACGCACGTGCGATAGCGAAGTCGGAGTACTAATAACAGCTCAATGACGACGTCGACGACGCGACGCGAGTATAAGGGGATAGAATCGTGTACTAGCGGACGACTGCTTTTAAAATTTAAATGCCAGACGCAACTCCACCACCACACGTCTGCAGACGGCACGCAGCACGAGGCTGCTGCTGCTGCTCTTGCTTCATGTAAACACACGCGAGGCGCGCCCTTTAAACGCGCGCGGGGATGCAATAACACGACAGGGAAGAGGGGGTGTGTGCATGTATAATTTTTAAATCGTTTCAAGGACCTCGCAGCGCGAAGTTATTATCCAAGCGCGGCGCTGCTCCGTTCAAAGATTTATTTATTCATAATGTGTACTATACGCATCGATTTTTTTCTTTCATATAATGGCATTAAAATGATCGATTTTAAAAGAGAGAGAGCCCAGCAACATTATTATCACCACAAAATATTCAGGGATAATTATTCGTTTTCTCGGTGTAACCCACGAAATAATGCGCGCCATAGCGACGCGGGAAAGATAATAATTCGATCTCAATTAGCCCGCGCGCGAAACACACGAATTCGTATTTGCCAAATTGTGAATTACACCTTTATCCCTTTCGCATATACATAGCGCACGTGTGTGTACGAGACCGTGTGCTTATGCGCGAATCCAGCAGCGGCACATACACAACGGCGTAGGAATATATATACCTATATATCTGTACATATATAGTACTACGTACCACTGATGCTACACGCAGGACTGCTGACAATCAATCGCGCATATATACATGCAGAGCCATGCAGAGAGAGAGCAAGAGAGAGAGAGAGAACTGGCAAGCGCAGAACTGGCGCTTCGCAGTGTGACACCGACGACCAGCCAGTGCGCTTGTGGATGTGTTTGTATTATATATTTACTATTATTATTATTATTGTATCGTATAAGAATCGCGAATTAGTGCCCTCGGTCCGAGTGAGAGAAATTATTAATATCGTTATATAGACACGGGCTGCGAAGTGTTTGAAAATATTATTATTTGTAAAAAAAAAAAAAAAAATACATCGACGAGTCGCGCAGCGGTATAACAGCAGCAGCTGCAGCAACAACAACATCATCGGAGCTGGGAGACAAGATCATCCGCAGCGAGGAACGAGTCACGCAAAAAGGTACGCAACGAGCATATGCAGCTGTAGGTGCACACGACGGAATGCGACTCTCTCTCTCTCTCTCTCTCTCTCTCTCTCTCTCTCTCACTCAGACTCGTTGCAAAATTCGATATCTCTGCTATACATTCGCGATACGTATTCGCGTCGTTGGCGAATCGCGAGAGGATCGATTCACATCATCGTGTGGCACTAGGAACCCTCGAAAATTTTCAACACGTATCCCTATACACACAAGTTCGTTCGTTCTCGTCGATTCATGCAATGCCGAGCGTGTGTATGTGTGTGTTCGAGCCAACAGCAGCAGCATCGTATTGTGCATAATGATATATATAGGTATATTATAATGTGTAATGCGTCGCACGCGAGAGGGAAAGAGCGAGACGACGACGAACCTCAGCAGCAATATATATACACGTACATGTGTGCGCAGCAGCAGCAGCAGCAGCACTGCATACAATGTGCGGGATATCTTATACACCGAACGTACAAAACTGCACGTTTAACGCGCACGGCATTTGGGCAAATTTTCGTTTAATAACTCTATCTCGCTGATTCCTCGGATCGCGGGTGTATACAGTGAAACGAGGTTTTTCGCGCCGATCATCGATTTTTTCTCGAACGCGTCGATGCAAGTATATACATAAAATCATACCAGACTCGTGTGTGGTGTTTCCGCTGCGTGGGATCCGCAGTGGTATTAGATTCAGCGTATGAAGCGCAGAGGGAGAGAGAGAGTGAGTGAGTGAGGTAGCCATATTTTTCGTCAACAAATATATTAGCGCGTGCCGATGGGAGAGGTGCCTGTCGCAGCAGCCGGATCAAGCGCACACGGTTTACACGAATTTAAGCACATCGAATATCGATGCTGTATATCGAGTAATTATAAGGTATATCGTGTGCGCTTGACCCCGCATATGTGTGTTTGTTATGAAATTACGACGACTGTTGTTGATACATATCTTTATGCCATTCTCATTTATTTTCTGTTCGTTATTGTTCACGGCTCTCCATATATGGGATATTTTTGTGCTCTTTTTTTAGAAACAAACAAAAACAGCTGCATTAGACATTATACGTAAACGCCGAACTACGTGCGCTGCGCATCGTTCAAGTAGATAAACGATCGTTTAAAAAAAAAAAAAATATCATCCACCCACCATCATCGTGCCATCGTCATCATACACAAAAAAAAAAAAAAACAACAACAACATAAAATAAAAAACACCAACAACCATCCGTCGATTATCCATTACGCCGATAACAATAGAAAATAACTCCATGAGCGAGTTATTATTATGAACTTTGTCCTGGACACCTATGGAATGCTATTGAACTTGCTTCTCGTTACCGAACAGCAGCATCAGAATCCAATGCCGGACTTCAACGATACCGCGCTGGAAACGCAGCTGCGTCGATTTCTCTACCTCGGCAAGGAGGGCCCGGAATACCAGCCCGGCAACTGGTTCGTGCACAATTACTTCGTCGCCGAGAATCTGCCCTCCGTCTACGAGCTCGCCGAGAATCCGCTCAAGCACGACGTCGTTATTTCGCTGATCTTGGAGGTACGTACCATCCGACTACACTCGACCTTTTTTATCGCCCTCTGTTACGTTCGATCGTTTTCAATGCTGACTAATCCGTCTCTTTCTCCTTACCCAGGCAAAAGAAAACAAACTCGTTCAGAATCCGGAGACTTTGATTTTTGCTCTAGCCGTTTGTGCGCAGCAAGACAAGAGCCAGGAACTGAAAAAGAAAGCGTACGATGCTGTCAAAAAACTCTGCACTACGGCTGAAGAATTCATACTGTTTGTCAAGTTCTGTTCGCACATTAGTAAACATAAAATACAACCCAAAAATGGCTGGGGTCACGGATGGAGAAGGGCTGTCAAGGAGTGGTATTTGACCAAATCACCAATGACCCTTGCAAAAATAGTCACCGAAGGTCTGCACAGGTATGGATGGGGTCACAAGGATATATTGAAGCTAGCGCATATGAAAGTTTCGAATCCGGGTGAGTTTTCTTAAGAGATTCTTTCAAGTATTCAAAAACTAGTTCTTATTATTTCATACTGTTGCAGACTTGGAAGCTGTTTGTTGTTATATTCTAAAAGGCTTCAAAGGTTTGATGGTGTATAAAGAAGAGAAAGGTTTATCTCCAGAAGCTGAAGAAGTATTCAAGTACATTGAGTCAATTGAAGATTTCAAACACTGCGAGGATGAGGTTCGAGGAGCAGCTCTAATTGAAACTTTGAATCTAAATTTAAATCATGTACCCGGACATTTTTTGAAATCAATGGAGGTGAGAAGATGAATTAATATATTATAATGGACTTTTAAGAAAACTATTTGTGAACATAATTTTAACTCTGTATATTTTGAAGGTTTGGGATTCGTTGCTTATTTCTATGAGTTTGACTACTCTATTGAAAAATCTTCAGAGAATTCACAATATGGGATTTTTATCCAAGAACAATGCTTTAACAAACAAAGTTTTAGATATTTTGTGTAAGAAAAATGTAGAAGAAGAAAAAATCCATCCTGCTCAACTCTATATTGCTCTAAAAAATTACGAAAATTCGGGAAAGTAAGTAAATTTACTGCAAGTAAATAAGAAAGCTATACAGAAATATTTAAATAAAACTCATTTTTAGGCCACTTACTTTCGAAAAGCGAAAAATTAGGGAACAAGCAAAGCGACCAATACCACCACCTCCTGAACCTAATAAAATGATCGTAGAAAAGCTCAAATCATTGTTCAACTTTTCATTTGAGGTAATTTATTAATTTATTGGTTGATTACGTTGAGAAATTAGGTTGTGTGATGGTGTAATGCAAAAATGTTTTTTCTCTGCAGTGTCTTGAGGCAACCAACGTCAATTACATGATAACGATCAGTACAAACAAGAACATGGAAAACAGTTGTTGGAAATCTGGACACATTAAAGCCATTGAGGCCGCTCAAATTATAGCCCTTAGCATCCTGAAGACGGAAAAAATTGTGACTCTAGCCAGATTTGAAAAGGAAGGCATAACGTTGGTCGAAACCGATGGGCAAGTTTCCATGGCGCAATTGAAGCGAAAACTCGAAACATCATATGCTGACATTTTTGACGCGAACAAACCCATGACTTTGGCAGCAGATTCAAAAAAAGTCGTCGACGTTTTCATCAATATAGTTGATCAAATTCATCCAAAAGCTGAAACTTCGGAAGAGGGTATTAGAAATTATAGGGCCAAAAGCAATCTACCCAATGCCAAGTAATGAATCTATTTCAATTTCTTTCTAACAAGTGCATTCAGAGCTTTAAACTGTTTTTATTTACTACTGCAGGTTGATAAATGTTACGTTGTGTGCTACAGCTTCAAACAAACCTGATTTTTGCGATAAAAATTGTTTGACGATATGCGGATTTGATGGAGCTGTTCCAAGAGTCATCGAAGCTTTTGCTAGATCATACTTTTAAAATAGTAAACTCCTTCATACGTAAATATCGAAGATGAAGAACCAGATAATATTTTAATGGTTTAGCATTGGTAAAAGTTCTTTTCAAAAGAGATAATCTCGAAATTGCTATTTTAAATAGCAAATTGTTGAAATTTTTTTACAAATTCCGAACAGCTGTTCACAAATTCACCTGTTATCAAGTATTAAGTTGAATTTTTAAACTAGTTTTATGCAAGAAATTCTCTCGCTCGAAATTCAAACGCCATTGAAGACATTTCTACACGCTTCATTTTTTGGCAAAACTTTTTCATTCAAGTACGATTCAAATAATCGTACCAATCGATAATTAGAATGTAATTCTCTCTATCGAGTCACTGATAAATGTATTGGAAAAGTATCATTATTACCTAAAACTGCATTTTAGACTAATTTCGAAGATACAATCTCGCATCGTACTTTAACAATTAAAATTGTCTTAAAATTGTTGCGTGGGCTCGATCTATAACTATTAATAAAATGATAACTTTCACGCTGAGCTTTATTAAGTAAAAAATTGTAACTAGAATCTGAACGAGTATTCTTAACGTTTCTATATTATAAACGTTTCGCTCGATAAAACATGATACAATCACACACACTGATACGCGTCGATGTGTGAAAAGAAACAAAGTCGCGCACGGGTTTTTCCTAGAACAATTTAATAATTATTTGATCGAATGTTTTTTGCTAGATTGATATGTTTTAATTGACTGAAAGTCAATCGATTTATTTTTTATTAATTAAATTGTCTTACAAAACGTGTAAATACCGTTTACAGATATTTTTATCGAATTTAGGAGCGCCGAAGATTATTTTTAATCATATAGTTTTTTCAAGAAGAAAAAAATCGAACTACTTTTGTACTTCGCAGTTATAGTATAATGTGTTTATGAATCAAAATGTACAATTTTTATTTGCTATTTCATTATAAAATATAAAACTTAGAAAAAAAAACCAGAAAAAACTCGTTCACGCAACAGAGGTAATTTTTTAGTGTTTAATCTAGATTATTTAATACAGATATAAACTATTTTAGTGCATATCGGAAGTAATGTATGGTGCATTTCTCAGCTGTAATGAAACATAATGTGAGACGAAGTGAAAAAAGTTAACTCATGGTTTATTTGACACTAGCTCATTTGTTTGTCCAAAACGCTGCCAATAATTATATTTAAAAAGAAAAAGAAAATTAATATGTATCATAGTAACAGAAACGCTTATTGCAATAGCAAAAAACAAAAATTAAGCTCGAATATTCTGTAATTTTTACTAGATGAAAAACGGATTTAAAAGCTGAATATTTATATTAAGAAAACACATTTATTGTATAAAATGGACTGACGCGCCTCTGCTAATATATATAGAAAAAAATAACACGGATAAAAATAAAACACGAGGAAATAGAACATTTTTCGATGACTTATATAGGATTAATAAAAGAATACTATGAATGTGTAAAAAAGGTTACAAATGAAGAGGCAAAGCAAAAAATTGTTTCCCACTGTGATATGCATTTAGCCCCAAAGAATGTGTACTGACGTACATTAGATATAATTTTACTATTTATCTCTTCGTATTTGCCATATCCGAAGCGAAAGAAAACGTTTAATAAGCAAAAAAAATTATGAATGGAAACTAATCGCGCTACCGATACATAATACTGTGATACACCAAAATAAATTGTTTATATTGTTCGAAGTAGTAAAACGAAACAAAAATAAAAACAGGTGGCTACGTTATATAATTAAATTTAAAAAAAAAGAAGAAGAAAATAATAGCTAGAGGCGCTTACGATGACGTCAGTCCAATCACAATTTGTTGATTAAATAACGTTAAAAATATTTCGTACATGCACGAATTTTGTTGGCGAATACAAAATAATATGATGATGGAAAAAGAAACGCAAGACTCGAAAGAATTGATTATTTGGTATGTTATTAATGTTCAGTGTGTTGAATAATTTTTGCGAGCGATAAAATTTATACATGAATAATGCGAATGCGAAAATATATAGGCATAATTTTTTCACTCCACTGGCGAAACTCGATGGTCGATCTAAACGTCAAACGCGATATTGTATTATAGTAGAAAAAGGCTAAGCTTTCATTGCTTCTATGAAGTTCTTATGATGAATATTTTGTGATTGCATCGAAAAAAAAGTGTCTTTGCAAGTTATATAGATTACGAAAAAAAAGGCAAAATCCGTCACGTTGGGTTTTATTTCTGCATTCGAATGCTTTTCAAGGGGCATTTCGTTTGGCCGTTTTGAATTTTGTATTATATAAATAGATGTATTTAAAGTACGGTAAAAACTCAGCAATACGCGCTAAATAAAATAGCACGAACTTTTTTTAAAAATCTAATTCTGAGACGCTTAACTCTCCTTGTGTCAGTAGGAAAAGAAACAAACGAAAGAAATCAAACGATGATTTTTTTTATCCATAATGGCTGTGCCCTGCTAACAAAAAGTCTGTCCTATATGAGAAGAAAAACAAAAAAATTTTATGATAAACATGTTATATTTATAAAAGTGTACGATAGCATTGATAATTATTACAGCACTCGTTGCAAGTTTGTTATATTCTCTCCTTTTGTACAATGTAAGAAACGATAAAATAATTCGACGTTTAGAATCGACGTCGAGACTTTCGACGCTCATATGAATCCTCGAGACAATGTTGGCCACGAATCAGTCTAGTTCAATTTTGTTTGCTCTCTGATTATACACATAAGTATACAATTATATAGGATATTTATATGCATTCGTACTGCTATCCTAAGCAAGTTGAAAAAAAATCAGTTTTCACAGTGAAGAAACACAAGTCCACGACATCTTCTCTTTTTCTCTTGTCTCCTAAAACTTTTTCTCTCTCACGCGAAAATAAACAAACGTTTACACGGTACACACAGCAGGCGTAAAATGTACGACTTATATTAATATATAATAAGCAGCATATAAATAATATAATATCAATACCGATAAGTTGTTCTATATATACTCGCGCTATTTCGACCAATTACGATATCGTATACAAAAAGTACGTGTGATCAGTATGGCTTTGGTCTCCGACTTGAAATGTAATAATAATAAATAATAATAATAATCATAATGATTGCGTTCGACTATTAGAAAAAAAAAATTGGGAACTGCATTGCAAAGTTTCACTCGGAATGAATTTCGTTACGTAAACAAAGGCTACAAAATAGTATTTTTTTAGAGAACAAAAATTTAATTGTCACTTACATGTGTAATAGCCAAAAAAAGAAAAACTTTAAAAACAGTGCGCTTAGAGTAATTTAAAAACAAAAAGTAATCTCGTTATTACAATTAATTAATCGTATATTATCATAGTAATCGATTAATAATGGTGGTAAGAAAATATAACGTAAGTATATTATAAAGTTTCTTAAAAAAAAAAGAAAACGTGGATGTTAAAACGCGAAAAAAAAGATTATAACCATCCCTATTAGCAATAGTAACCATATATGCATTATATATTAATCTCATATATTAATTAGGCGGGTACTTTTATGCTATAAATCATAAAAGCTACTAATGTAATCGTATATTAGAATAATATATAATGGCGATAACGTTTATTAAAAGCAAAAAAATAAATAAAATTAATAAATAAAAAAAAAAAATTGCTAAAGTAGCCATATGAAAAGAACGAGAAACTTAGGGTTGAAAAATTAAGTAAACTTCATGTTATTAACATTTAGATGATAATGTGCATTCGTATCGTGGCATCAATGAGACTTTTCCCATGTAATAATGCGAACATATTTTTGGACTAGGACTGATGGAGATTAAAAGTATATTTAAAAGGGCATTCTATTTAGTAATTGTAAGGATCGTACACAGTTTTAGAGCAAAAATATTATCACCGTGACAATAATTATCGAAAAAAAAATTGCGTGGCGCAGACACTTGCTTCACACGATAATGATTTCTCAAAATTTTTTTGTTTCACGAGGCTTAGAAATTTTGAGTGATTGATTTTCTCATTGATGACGACGATACGATAAATTATAATACGCTAAAATTAAGACTTAAATCTCTAATCATAAAATAAAAAAAAAATAATTATACTTTACTTCGTAAGATGAAAAAAAAACATTGAAAAAAGTTGATGCAACTGTAAAAAAACAAACCTTATCGATAGCTTTTTGCAAATTTTCGAGGTGATCATCATTTAATTATTAAACGGAATCAATAGTGTCTTTTCTCTATTTCGTAATTTAACCGAAAACAATTTGAAAAGTAAACCGTTCGTGATAAACGATGTTTGTAATGTTGTTTAATAAGAAACATATTACGTTAAATGTGTTCATACCTAGACGAAAGGGAAAAAAGGGAAAGAAAAAATAACAGATTTTTCGTAAAAAATGTTAAGACGATATTTTTAATTTAGGCATAGTACAGTGAATTAAAAAAAAATTCTACATGCGTCAGTATGGATGAGTAATACGCTTGGAAATTGTCATTGTAATTATTGAAAAAACTCGAATGATTTTCAAGATTTTACGAACGCCCCGAGTCGGTGCTGGCCAGCGCAGCCTTTATCCTGTAAATATAACCGGCAATTTTCCGATCAAATAACTGGCAATTATACCTTTTTATATGAAATAAATATAGTGTACGAATTTTAATTTGTTATATACTAATAGTTTGTAAGCTGAATGTGTTGTTATCGACGCGAACACTCGTTGTATCCTATACACGAAAAAAATAAGAGACGGAAGAATAAAAATTCATAATCCTGTGTAAAGAGCGAATTTTTTGATACTATGGCGTAAAAATACGTGTACATTGTCTGTATTAAAAGTGTAATGATTACGTACCTTATGAGACGACTGAAAATTGCGAATTGGCCAGTACTCGATCGCAGCGGCGACTTTGTTGTTATACGTTTTATGAGTTATTTTTTTTAGTTTAAAGAAAAAAAGTCAAATACTTATTATTTCCAGCTGAGCTAATGTTTTAAGTTAATGGTGTTCTTAATAGTGATTTATTGATCAGAAAAAAGTTAAAGATGCACAAGTATAATCATGCCATTGAAACCTTTAATTAAGTAAATGTATAGAATTACGACGACTCAAAGACAACAAATAATATTTGCCTCTGCTCCCCACAAGAGACTTTGAAGATTTAACTTATTTGAAAAAAAATAATAATAATAATAATTGCGCTGCACTTAAGGCGTAATGAAAAAAAACTACATCGCAGTCTTGTTCTCCATATATAAATAATAATCATGTAAAATATCGATAAAGTTGGTTAAGTAAAAAAAGTCAGCTTATTTTGTAATTGCAGCTGCTTAATGAACGATACAGAGCAGATTTATTATTATTGCATCTCGTTGCATTCTTAATGTCAAAATGAAAATCTCACAAGTGTCTCCTTATATTGAAAAAAAGTAAATAAATGAAAAAATAGTTGTGTATGGACGGGACTGTGAAACTTAAAAAACTATGCCTAAAGTGCAATCCTCCTCTAATTCTATTGACGTAATATTTAAATCGTAAACCGTAGCAGCTGATGAACAAAGTAAAATAATGATACTGAAAAAAGCAAATATGAATGTATGCCTACCTTTCGGCCTTAATATAGTTTAAACACAGTAATTTCTATTGATATATGATTAAATAAAAGATACACACATATGGTACAGAAAATACGATTTATGAAAAGCAAAAAAATGAAAAATAAATATGGAATGATAAGGGTGCATTTTGTCTGTAATTTTTACGTTGTATAGTTTATACAAAAATTATGTCGAAACAGTCTGAAAAAATTCCTTAAAAACTGCTCGCCTTTGTAATAAGAAAAAAAATGAGTAAGTCGAATGTAATTAAAAATGAAATCACAAAGCCTTCAAAGTTACAAAACAAAAATGAAACTATGTTAAAAAGCGAATGAATGATGAAACCGTTATAATAATTGATAAATTACAAAAAATATATAATTTAATTAATTACAATATTATGTCTGTACAAAACACGTCGCCGAGTTCCAATTAAATAAAACAAAATCGAAACAAGAAAACAATTAACAAAACTGCAAAAAAACTAGTTTAATTTTTTCCCTATATTTACCATTCAATGTGTCTTATAATCTTCAAGAGTTACGGATAAAAATATCGATACTTCAAAGTAAGGTTTAATTTTTTAATCAACACGAAGTCAATGAAAGTTGTTCATAGAAGTAATAAAACAAGCTCGTTGAGATTTTACTTTTTCTTTATTTTACTTTCACATGTACAAATATTATCAAGTGATGAAAATCATCGATGCAATCGTGCTAAAGCGTGATCGGGATCGGAATCGGAAAAAGGTGATTATGACACTCGTTTACGCGAACTTCGAGGTTGAGATTCGGTGTCGTCGTCGTCACATCTCCTTTTGTGACGTATCGGACTCGATTGTAATTTATCTTCGTCTGTCTGATGGCACAAACGCAGTAATTCCTCGTGACTCATACATTCGGCTAATCGTCGACAAGCGACGTAAGGAAGACTTAAATTACAATAATCAGTCATAAAGAGATCGGCTGCGAACAATTCTAAATGTGGCCTGATTAGAATGTTTGCTACGTGCCTCTTTACAATCTGGTTTAACTCAGTACACGAAAAATCATCCATTGGTGGTAGTTGCCAATTATTCNATGTACGTCTGGTTGTCTGGAACCAGTGTAACTTTTGAACGGAGACACGCAGCGCGAAGTTGTTCGGCTCGTTTTGAAGGATTTGTGTGTCGTAAGAAGCGTCAAAAACTTATTTTAGGATCCACCGAGTAGTTAAAGAGTTATGCTTCATTGTATCGGGACCTTCATAGCCATTAGAAATTATTTAATCCAAAAGAGTAATTTTCGAACCTTAAAGGAGTAAATAACGCAGTTTACTCTTTTCGGTTTAGAGTGTACATGCTTTGACAGTTTAACACGGATCGTCAAATCGCTTGATCTAGCCGCGCCCGCCCCCAAACTCTCACTCTCTGCGATTGACCATTAGAATGCGCATGACACGCCACCAATTACCACTCATGCCTTTCACATTTCTACGATAGCTGCGTAAGCACCTCTGCAGGTCGCTCAGTTGCTTTTCTCGCTCCAGTTGGGCTACTAGACGTTTACGAATGAACTGCTTTGTTGCTCAGTCATAAGCCTGTCGAACAGCTCTCCATTTAACCTCTATTTAACGGGTGATTTTCTTTCGAGTGTCGGTGCGGTTGTAACGTCCACCACGTGTTCGATACTCGGTGTCAATTTTTTAGTTCACAGTGCGCGATTTCCATCTCAGAGGATAATTTTGTCAACATTTCAATTGAAAATGGAAATGAATAATAACAATGTATTCTTATCTTATTTATCAAACTTAAAAAATCATTTGAAAAGTTTAAAAGAAGGTGAAGCTAGACGCGGAAAATTTTGCTTCATGCTCCGAAAATGGTCGGAAATGAATTTGGGATCATACGCGTCGGCGAACAGGCTTATGTTAGAACTTATGAACTGTCAAAGCCTATTTCCGAACATTGAAGATAAAAATTCTTTTTTTCTATTCGCTTTGCATAAAGGCGATCATAAAATTGTAGAACTAATCGAGGCAAGCAATTTTAACATACAAATCGATATATTCGACAGGACATGTGATGGATTAAGTTTCTTAAAATCAAAAACCCTAGAGCTAATGGAATATTTTTTGAAGAATCCACGAGAAAACTTCTTTGTCGATCATGGATACACATATTTCAATGCGGCCTGCATGTCTGGCAACATGACTGCAATAAATCTACTCCTGAGCCGAGGCATGGACGTCAATCTCGACACGTACACGTGTTCGCCGTTGCACATCGCAGCCCAGTACAGACATCTACCTGTGGTAGAGATTTTATTGATAAATGGGGCCGATCCAAACAAACAGGACGCGGAGAAGTCGACACCTCTTCACGCACTCGCGAGGCTGTGTCTATGCCACTGCACCAACATAATCAGATGCTGCGATAAGAGAAAACCAGTTGATGATATAATTCAGACGCTAATTGAATATGGAGCGAACATCGAAGCTCAAAATCGTAATGGCGATCGTCCCCTGGATTTGGCGGTCTCTCGTTTCGATGTGCAGCTAGTCAAATCGCTTTTGAAACACGGCGCGAGTCTTGAAAATTTGAACGAGGATAAAATGTTCGGCGCAGAGTTCACATCGACCGAATTGAAGAATTATCCTTTCACTCTGAACATCATCGAGATGGTAAAATTATTGCAGTCGGCAGGATTTAAGATGAGCTTTGATACCAGACTCAAGATGTTAAAATGTTGGATAAAAGTTCGTGGAAACAACACAGACCATATAATGCTTAATAATAGTGATGATAGTAAGTGTCTAATTTGCTTTATACAATAATTATATTTACAAATTTCAAATTTCTCGAAAATGATTTTTTCTAGAGATTTCAAGGGTTACTTTGATTTTCAAGCATGAACTTTTCTTCGAATAGAAAACCTTTTTAATAATGTATTGAATGTTTAAATGACTGACACCAGACTAATTTCTTTTATAATTCGCTCACTTTTTTAATTTGCTGGTAATTATTTTTTTCTAGGGTCTTGGATAAACAAGGTAATGGTAAAAAAAATTTCGAGCAACTTATTTATTTATCGTGAGTTTGGCTTTCATATGATGCAAGAAGCCGAAGATTTTTTGCACCAAAAATGTGCTTCCGTATCAGTACCAATAACCTCAGCTTGGGAGTTTCCTCAAAGATTCATTGATTATCAGATGAAAACAGTTCCGAAACTCAAGAACATTATGTTAACCGACGACGTCTCGCTCTATCAACTTTGTCAAATGAATTACAGCAAGGGTTACTCGATCATCAAAAAATTGAATAATTGGCAACTACCACCAATGGATGATTTTTCGTGTACTGAGTTAAACCAGATTGTAAAGAGGCACGTAGCAAACATTCTAATCAGGCCACATTTAGAATTGTTCGCAGCCGATCTCTTTATGACTGATTATTGTAATTTAAGTCTTCCTTACGTCGCTTGTCGACGATTAGCCGAATGTATGAGTCACGAGGAATTACTGCGTTTGTGCCATCAGACAGACGAAGATAAATTACAATCGAGTCCGATACGTCACAAAAGGAGATGTGACGACGACGACACCGAATCTCAACCTCGAAGTTCGCGTAAACGAGTGTCATAATCACCTTTTTCCGATTCCGATCCCGATCACGCTTTAGCACGATTGCATCGATGATTTTCATCACTTGATAATATTTGTACATGTGAAAGTAAAATAAAGAAAAAGTAAAATCTCAACGAGCTTGTTTTATTACTTCTATGAACAACTTTCATTGACTTCGTGTTGATTAAAAAATTAAACCTTACTTTGAAGTATCGATATTTTTATCCGTAACTCTTGAAGATTATAAGACACATTGAATGGTAAATATAGGGAAAAAATTAAACTAGTTTTTTTGCAGTTTTGTTAATTGTTTTCTTGTTTCGATTTTGTTTTATTTAATTGGAACTCGGCGACGTGTTTTGTACAGACATAATATTGTAATTAATTAAATTATATATTTTTTGTAATTTATCAATTATTATAACGGTTTCATCATTCATTCGCTTTTTAACATAGTTTCATTTTTGTTTTGTAACTTTGAAGGCTTTGTGATTTCATTTTTAATTACATTCGACTTACTCATTTTTTTTCTTATTACAAAGGCGAGCAGTTTTTAAGGAATTTTTTCAGACTGTTTCGACATAATTTTTGTATAAACTATACAACGTAAAAATTACAGACAAAATGCACCCTTATCATTCCATATTTATTTTTCATTTTTTTGCTTTTCATAAATCGTATTTTCTGTACCATATGTGTGTATCTTTTATTTAATCATATATCAATAGAAATTACTGTGTTTAAACTATATTAAGGCCGAAAGGTAGGCATACATTCATATTTGCTTTTTTCAGTATCATTATTTTACTTTGTTCATCAGCTGCTACGGTTTACGATTTAAATATTACGTCAATAGAATTAGAGGAGGATTGCACTTTAGGCATAGTTTTTTAAGTTTCACAGTCCCGTCCATACACAACTATTTTTTCATTTATTTACTTTTTTTCAATATAAGGAGACACTTGTGAGATTTTCATTTTGACATTAAGAATGCAACGAGATGCAATAATAATAAATCTGCTCTGTATCGTTCATTAAGCAGCTGCAATTACAAAATAAGCTGACTTTTTTTTACTAGTCTCTTGTGGGGAGCAGAGGCAAATATTATTTGTCTTTGAGTCGTCGTAATTCTATACATTTTTTGCGTTTGACGAAAATAAAGTTACTTCTTGCGGAGTCTATTCCACAAGCGACGCCTGTATGTCTGCAATCCACTGTACACAACTCTCAAAGCTCGACATCTCCTGTCTTCTTGATATCCGAGAACTATAAATAACACGATTTTCCATGATTTATAAGAAAGGATTAACGATCATTCCATTATAATTTGTTGCATATTTGCATTATCTAAAAATTTGAATCTCGCGCGTTTGCCACTTCGCGAGCACTGCCGCGACGGCGCGACCGGCGACACGCGAAGCCGGTCGCGATTCGCGAATTGTCAAAGCATGAAAACGCGCAGAGCATCAGCTGGCCTGCTATAAGCGGTAAACAATACCGAGTGATGCAGCTGATTCACAGTGACAAAAATGTGCACTTAGTCGATCGCACGTAGCGCAGTAGATCCCTCGAAAAATATAATTTTTCAAGTGTTTTTTCGTGCGACATACACACGAGTGGCTCTTCTGTTTGTGTTGTTTTCTTTTTTTGACTTGTGTGTCGCGGTTTGTTTTGATCAACCTATACATCAGGCAGCCTGCATTAAAATATAATGGTCGAGTCAAACGCGTGGTTCGCCGCGAGAATCGACGAGTTTCGCAGCAGCCCGGCCGGCGAGCCCCGTCAATCGTACCTGGCGGAGTTCAAGATAAAGTTTCACGCCCTCGGCGCCGAGGAGGCCCGCAACGTCGTCAAGCGGCTCGATCTGGAGAAGCTGTGGAAGGAGTTCGAGTCCGACGACGATGAGTAAGCGAATTTTCGGCCGGCCAACTTCGTTCGAATGCATAATATTTGATTTCGTTTTTTTCTCGTTTACGACAGGGTAACGGAGACCTGCTCGCTGGTCGAGCTGCTGCTGGAAGCTCTGAAGCCAGAGGAGATTTTGACCAACTACGTCGCCGAGTTGGAGAAATTACTGTCCAGCAGGGTAGTGGCGCCGAGAGTACTCAGCTTGGAACAAATCTTGAAAGTCGCATCAGACGCAAATGGTTTGCCTTTGCTGTTAGCCAGAGTGAATTTGTTGAACAGCGTAACACAGAGAATCGGAGATGCTGAACTCAAGGTTGCTAACCTAGCGATGAATGTTATTAAAAGAGTGGGTAAAGCTCCAGAAGGCCCAAAACTTTTGTACTCCGGAGTGATTATGAGAAGCATCGCTAAACTCTTATCCGTGGATCCAACCGTCAGATTTAGAGTTTATGAAGTTATAATTGAGGTTGCCAAATCTAGTAAAGAAGCTCTTGCAGCATCAGTGGAATCTGGCTTTATGGAAAGTTTAATCGATAGTATAAATTCAGATGATGTATTGATTAAGTTAAATGTTATAGAATTGATCATACCTTTAGCTTTGACAGAAGACGGTTATAAATACTTGAATGAACGTGGATTCGTTAGTCAGATGGCAAATCAAATTGAACATGCAAAAGAATCACCACTTGATGCCCTATTCATTCCAGGGTTAATTAAGTTTTTTGGATGCACTGCGCGATCGAATCCCTATGAAATATTCGCCAAATATCCAGTTGCAGTTCTTTCATTATTTGATCTCATATCAGGAAATGATATGGCAATTTTACCAATAGCACTCGACACTCTTGGATACATATCTGAAACTGTTCAATCAAAATATGCTTTACAAGATCTAAAAGTGATGCCAATGGCTATGAAAAAAATAGGAGAGCTGATGCAGAATTCTACAGCAGAAGTCAAAATATCTGCTTGCTCTAATCTAGCAAAAATTCTCCATGTTGACAAAAGTGAACAAGACAACAGAATAGTAACGTTGACTAAATCTTGGTTTGATGCTTTGGGTGAAGATCCTTTGAAATTGGTTGTTGATATAAGTAGACTGCCATTTAACGACTTGAGAAATGCAGCGTACGAAGTTTTAGTTGAAATTGCTTCGCAACAGTGGGGTCAAGAGAGTATTGTAAATTACCCTGGAATGATGGAATTTTTACTCAATCGAAGAAATGAAACTTGCAAACAGTGCAAAGAAACAAAGTATGCTATGATAAAAAATTTGAGCGAGTCTGATGTCATTGACAGCTCAAACTTAGACTCACTGAAAACATATGTACAAGAAGGAGCTTTCTACAAAGGATCTGATATCGATTACGAGGTAAATTTTGAGGGAGCTTCATAAATTAATCATCAGTGTTAAATTTAATTAAAATGTTCAAATCACTGCAAACAAATCAGTATAAACTTATGGTCTTGCTCTGTTCTTGAATTACATATTGATATAAGAAATCGACTTCATAATTAATATTTTGTAATAAGAAAGTTGGTATAAGTTCATAATTTAGACTCAATAAATGTAACGTTCCTAATACGTCTTTTATGGATTTTATTCAACAGATGTACTTTTAATAATTATTATTAGTTACAAGTCTTTACATATAAAATACACTTATAATCTAAACTCTTTATCTATACAAGTACATGTTGGCATAATTGCTCCGACAGTTTGAGTGGAGCAACGGAGCGCTAATACAAAAAAATAAAAACAAATCAACTATTCCTGTTGTAAAACCGAATAGAAACGATACACGAGCTTCAGTCAACGATCCGACTGAAAAAAAACTAATTAAGAGTAAATTAGATAAAAAATACGAATTTTTACTAGCGAGACATTTACACACTTAAACACGAGATTTTTTGTTTTTTTTAATATATTACACTTAGATCTTAATGGTCATAAAAAATAAGAAACAAACTTGTACAAGGTTAACTGAGATTTTCTCATCGCTCTTCCTACGTAATAATATCGTCCTCGCGACCAATATTACACAATAATTTTGGTTTTCCGAATTTCGCTCGATGCGCAATCGAGCGGGCGGGGGAAACAAAAGTTAAAACGATCGCATATAGTCTCTCTCTGTATAATACACACATGTATACGCGAAAAAATCTTCGAATGATTTTCCTCGATTCCGATAATAATATCCCCTCGTATACGACGGTATGGAAAAAAAATATAACAACAAAAAGAAAATAATAATGATGCCTTACGAAATAAAACGAAGAAAATTTCACGCGCTCCGGGTCTTTCAATAATCTCGAACGTGACATCTCACGTTGCAGGACCCCCCGCTTTCGCGTCGATCTCGATCGATAAATAAAAATAATAATAATCTCTGTCCGAGCTCTCATCTATATAATGTATAGTAACCGATCGACACGAACGAGGGGGACCCCCTATTATTTATCAAATATATTCGTTGCATTTTATTTTCTTTGCGCGGGTGTGTGTGTGTGTGTGGGTTTTCCTCTCTCATTGCACTCGTTTCCTCTTCTTGGGCGAGAGGATTTTCAGCATGGAGACGACGGGTGCCTCGAACGACACCGAGATGACGAACGAGAGCAGATAGGAGGCCACGACCTGGCCGAAGAACGTGATGACGACCGAGTCCTTGCCGAGATGCAGGGGCGAGTCCATGTTCATGGCGGTGAGACGCAGTGTGAGCGGGTGTATGAGATAGGCGCAGTAGGTGACCCGACTGAACGGATAGAGCAGCGGCGCCGACAGGATGCTGTTGACGTAGCCTAAAAAAGAAAAAAAAAATGCAACAGGATCAGATATACGTTTGTTTAGAAATTTTTCGCGTGCGTCCCCTACGGAAATTTATCGCTAAATTAATTCTTAAAAATTCTTATAAATGTTCGGATTTCATACCATGACTTTTAAGAGTTAATAAAAATATGTAAGAGCTTTAATTGATATAAATAAATTTTAAAAATTTATGTGCAACCTGATATTTAGTTTCTGAATTATTCAGACGGATAAGAAAATCGCTTATTTAATTAAAAAAATAAAATTACAAGTGACATTAATTGTTTTAAAGAGCTATTAAGATTTATTAAGTGTTGATAAAAAATCGGTATCAATGCTCCCTAAAAGTCATGGTGATGAAAAAACTCTACGGGCAACCATATGAATAATGTAAAAAAAAATTCAACACTTTTGCTAAAAAATTCGAGTCTCCACAAGGTTTTATGAATTTTTAAAAAATCTAAGTATCCGCGCATTTGTAAGACTTTTTAAGATTCTTGCGCGCATACCTCCGTAGCCGGTGCTGCAGGCGAATACGATCCAGGCGAGACTGAGCGCCCAGGCGGTGTGGCTGAGCGACGAGTAGGCGGCCCCCGTCACCGGCGACAGCTCGGCCTCGTACAGGCCGTACAGCAGCGAGAGCAGACAGGCCGCCGACAGCAGCCAGCCGATGAAGTTGGTCGCGCGGCTCATCTTCACCTTGCAGTCGGTCTTGAAGAGGACGTAGCCGAGGGCCATGCCGATGAGATAGGGCCCGAGACGGGTCCAGGGCTTGTCGTAGATCTTGTCGAAGAGGGCCAAGGGGTCGTCCGTGTTGGGCATGTGATTGTTGACGAGGGCGATGTAGCCCGTGGTGAGCCACGAGCTCAGCATGAGTGCGGCCAGCGTGACAGCGGCGCACTTGAGATGATTCGTCGCCAAGATGAGGATCACCGCGCCGACTATGTAGAACTGCGTGTCGTCCGCCACGTACCAGCTCCAGAGCATGCACATCTGGTCCACGGGGTAGAGCGTGTTGATGTAGAGTAGATTGCGCCACCAGTAGTTGGGGCAGTTCTCGTGGTCCGCGGTGGGCGGCTCGAACACCGAGTTGGCGTTGAACCACTTCATGGAGATCTCGGTGACGCCGAGGACGAACATGTAGGGCGCGGTGAGGCGACAGAAGCGATAGGCGAGAAAGCCGAGGAACTGCAGCAGGCCGGGGACGAAGCCGCGCTTGCCATGGGTCAGCCGATTGAGATGGCCCTTGGCGTTGGTGCGAAAGTACAGGAAGCTCACGAGCAGACCGCCCATGAAGAAGAACGTGTCCACGCTGAAGGCGCCGTTCTGTATGGTCTGGAAGAGGAGACGGCGCTCGACGACTTTGCGATACTCGGTGTTGTCCGAGTACTTGAAGACGACGATGCACGTGTGGCCGAGGATGACCCAGAGCATCGAGAGGGCGCGCAGACCGTGGATGGTGCTGATGGTGTCGCGGCCCACCTCCTTGTCGCAGATCACGCGCAGGTTCTCCTTGACCGAGAACGACAGCAGCAGCTCCTCCCACACGTCTGTAAACGAAAAAAGTTTTTAAAAAAAAATCTGAAAACATCCATACGCATGCTTTTTGTATTTAAAAGCTTCTATCTAGAGATAGAAAATCGTACGGTTCAAAAGGTTTTTTTTTTTTTTTTAATCAAGGGGTTACACCTGTGTTAAATCCTATATATTGTCATGTAAACTGAAAAACATGAAAATAAAATGTTACAATTGGACTTTTTTGTTTGTGATGTAAAATTATGTTTTTCTAAGTCTTTTTACATCAGAAAACATAAGTTCAAGGTGCACCAAAACTTACTTGTCATTGCAAAGCTTTGTGCCGCATGAATCAGAATGGAGTTTTTGTTCCTACAGGTCTTGAAATTTTTGTAATAACATTATCTTAAGTTTTGGTGCACTTTGCACTTATTTGAATAATAAATGGTACTGAAGACATGTTTTCTTACGTAAAAAGACTTGAAGAAACATAATTTTACATCCCAAACAAAAAAATTCAATTTTAACATTTCATTTTCATGTTTTTCAATTTATAGGATAACACGGGATTTAACACAAGTGTCCCCTTAAATTTGTTGAAAAATGATTTTCCCGTTTTTTATCATCACGTTTCTAAACTTTACGATTTTCTATCTCGAGATGGAAGCTTTTAAACGCAAAAAACACAAAGAACCAAAGTTAAAGTCAATATAGATCGGAACAACTTGGGAAGCAAGCTCCAATATTTATATAATACGTACTGAGATTCTGCAAATCGGGCGTGGGCGGGCGCAGGCTGCCCTCGTGATCGTTGTTGTTGTTGACCGGCGAGTTCGACGAAGCCGTCGTCGCCACCGTCGAAGTAGCCGCTGCCGCCGCCGCCGAGCCATTGGTGACGGTGGTGACCCCGATGGGTACAGCAGCGCCGACGGCGGCGCCGTTCGAGGAGCTACCGTTGATCACGGGCTCCGTTACTGGAACAGCAATGTAGATCCTACCTTCAGCTTCGGCGGCTGAGCGAGGCGCACACGATTGCGGGGATCGGATGATGATAACGATTTTTGTTGTTGTTGTTTGTTTCGTTTCGTTTTGTTTTTTTTTTTTTTCAAATTGTTGTCGTTATTCGTAATTTTTTGTTTTTATTCGGTTCGAGCAGAAAACATAAAGAGAAAAAAAAATACAATAGTAAGGATTACAATAAACACACGTGTTGTCGTGATTTTATCATAAATTTTGAAAGATAATTAATTCATATTTACTGGAGCGGATGAAAATAAGTTGAAAGTATAAGAGAGAATTTTCACAAAAGCACACGCATTATATTTACAGCTTTCGTAATATAACTACACAATAGAAATGAGCCTTTCGAGTGTAAAGATATATTGTCGATAATTTACAGATGTGTATTATGTGTGTGTGTATCGTATCGTGTAATGATGATGAATGAAAATATGCACGATAAAGAGACAGCCATAGAGAGAGAGAGAGAGAGGAAAGTATACATAGAGGAAGAAGCCAAAAAACAAAAAAAAACAATCATTACCGTTCTGGAGCTTGCAATTGACGGCGGCGAGCTGCTCGAGCTTGATGTGGCGCTCGAGATCGAAGGCCAGCTGCTTGCGCTTGGCCCGCTTGCTCAGGTAGACGTCGTAGCTCGTGCCGCCGATCAGCAGGAACAGCACCACGGCACTGACGCCGCTGCGCGAACGAGAAACGAGGAAAAAAATAAAAGCATGAGTATGGAAAGCTCGATGAGCTTTTTTGGTATACGAGTATGATATAACTCACAAGAGAACCCAGAACACCGAGTCTTGCCACATGTCGTAGGGATTGCGCTGGTCGCGTACCTTCTCCACGCGGGTGTAGCGGGCCGCCGCGTCGCCGGCCGACAGCCGAGCGATCAGCTCGACGTCCGCGGCGCGACACGAGTACGGCAGACAGACGCCGAGATGCAGCAGTCGCTGCAGCGGCGGACTGGTCGAGTTCACGTTGATGCGCATCATGAAGAAGCCCAGCGGGTAGGGCGAGCGATCGTCCAGCAGCAGATTGGCCGAGGTCAGTAGCGCGTCGACGTTGGCCGCGGATTGACCGGCCGACTGGCCGCTGAAGCCCCGATTACCCGTGGTGACGCGCTTCTTGTGCGGCTCGGCGTTGAACTCCTCGGCCTCGCTGATGGTCTCGACGTTGCTGCTGCTGGTGAGCGACGGATTCTTGGAGACGCCCTGGCCGATGAACTCGCACTCGGTCGCCGAGCCGACGTAGTACGAGTTGCCCCAGAAGAAGCCGTTGGTGAAGCGGCCCGATGCGTCGTCCACTGGGAGAAGGAAGAAAAGATGTAAATATTTCAAGTGCTCGTTATATGTATTTGCAAGAGAGAGACTACGCTTTCACACTTGACCGGACGAGATCGCGTCGGCGGATGTTTATATAAGTCATTAAAAAAAAAGCAGCAGTTCCTCGGCGCCCACTTTCGATTTAATATACTCCTCGTGTGTACAGTGCAATCCATTTATATACGCACACACTCGAGTTTTAGCAGCTTAATTGGGCACCCGATGATACTCGACTTGACTCGCGTGGCTGAAAATCACTCGGCTATGTACACACAAACACACAAATTATCCTTTAATTAATCAGCCGAGCGTAAAAGTATATATACATGTAATACAAGCGCGAGTTTCTCCGCCTTTTTTTTCCTCTCGCTCTTCATCTTTTCTTCTTCTCTATAACATAAACAACGCAATTATGCGTTGCGCTTCCGCGCGGATAAAACGACGCGCTTCACCATGCGTATAAATAAAAGTGCAGGTGCATTATCGCGTCGTTCGATTTTCATCGGCAATACGATCGCGTGTGCGGGAAGTAAACGCACTGCGTTCAATAATTTTGTTGCTCCTCTTTTTTTTTGTCTTACCGCGCGAATTCCACCGAGTCATCGAGTTCTCTCGACCGAAAGTATATAAAATGTATATCCGCACACTCGACGACCTTCGATAATTTCTCCTCGTCACCGATTTTGTAAATACGTTTCAAGTGCATTGGATATATATACTTGGCACACTCGTATATACGAATCGTGTCAGCAAAATTATTTGTGAAAAAAAATAAATCGCCCGCGCGCCTCTTCGGCTGTACTCGGTTCATCGACTCGTCGATTTAATATACACTCACACAGACCCACACGACCGAAATTGCGCGAGGTCGTTGGCATACACTGCGTCAGATATTACGATATTTCGATATACACAAGGAAAAATCGGAAGGATCGTAAATTTCGAGTTACGGCGCGTAACGCGAGTCAATTTTCACGCGACATACGGCCGCGGAGTAAAATTAAAAAGGCCTCTCACGATCGTAAAAAACGTTTTGTGTGCGGAGATTGAATTTTTTGAAAATTTGCGCGCACTCGATATCCAAGATATATTAAAGCATAAAATGCATAAAGATAATGCATCGATCGTTAATTAGCCGTAGCAGCTGTCGAAGCGATCGGCCGATATCTTAAATATCCTCTCTTTACGTAAGTTTCCTCGGTGTGCGGTGTGAAGGTTTTTCATTTTATATGCGAACGAACGATAATTCAAACTAGCGTCGTGTTACGCTCGTTTCTGCAATGGTTCATGGTAAGAACGTTTGAGAAAGCTAGAGGATCGAAAAAATAGCTTGATAGGTGTTGTGGACAATTGATTTTAGTAGGTATAGTAAAGTATAATGATACATCGGAATCGATCATATTTATGATAATCTTTCACTTCAATTTAGACTAAAATTCCTCCTTTCCAAAGATTCGTATAATTCTTTTGACTATAGTCATAAAATGAGTCTTAGACACTTGTCGATCAATTAGGTGACGAATTTCGCGTGACTTTTTTCAGAGAGAAACATGAAGTCAGCATAAAGGTTAGAAGTATATTAAAGCAAGAAGATCATTTAAATTTTAGTATTTTTATTTAATGTTACAAAATTTTATAAATAAATCATTCAATTTTTTAGGAAATTTCACATCGACTTACAATACAGTGATAAGTCAATAAAGGTTATAAAAAGAACTATTCAAGGTGATCGTTGAAATTTGGCGTTTTTTTTCACATTGAAAAACTTAGGTATAAAAAAAATACCTAACTCACTCACAATCATTCGATCCTGTGATAGATCTTACGGCCCAGAGTTGATTATGGCACTCGTTGCCGCGAACTTCGAGGTTGAGATTTGGTGTCGTCGTCGTCACATCTCCTTTTGTGACGTATCGGACTCGATTGTAATTTATCTTCGTCTGTCTGGTGGCACAATCTCAGTAATTCCTCGTGACTCATACATTCGGCTATTCGTCGACAAGCGACGTAAGGAAGACTTAATTTACAATAATCAGTCATGAAGAGATCGGCTGCGAACAATTCTAAATGTGGCCTTATTAGAATGTTTGCTACGTGCCTCTTTACAATCAGGTTTATCTCGGTACACGAAAAATCATCCATTGGTGGTAGTTGCCAATTATTCAATTTTTTGACGATCGAGTAACCCTTGCTGTAGTTCATTTGACAAAGTTGATACAGCGAGACGTCGTCGGTTAACATGATGTTCTTGAGTTTCGAAACATTTTCAGACGATAAATCCTCTTGATCTTGCCGAAATAAGTTCGACTGTCCTGGAAATTTTTGTTTTATTTCATCGCTTTTTTGTTGCAAAAAGTCTTTAGCTTCTTGTTTAATATAAAACCCATTGTTAATAATACAGCATAGAGTTAAAAAAATATTTGCACCAATGATCAGATCTGTTGGGGGATGACTGAATTCAGGAATCAGATGGTCGGTGTCGTTTCCTCGAACTTTTATCCAATATTTTAACATCTTGAGTCTGGTTTCAAATCTCATCTTAAATCCTGCTGATTGCAATAATTGTACCATCTCGATGATGTTCAGTGTAAGTGGATAGTTTTTTAATTCGATCGATGTGAATTCTGTGCCGAACATTTTATCCTCGTTCAAATTGTCAAGACTCGCGCCGTATTTCAAAAGCGACTTGACAAGCTGCACATCGAAACGAGAGACCGCCAAATCCAGAGGACGATCGCCATGACGATTTTGAGCTTCGATGTTAGCTCCATATTCAATTAGCGTTTGAATTATATCATCAACTGGTTTTCTCTTATCGCAAAATCTGACGCCGTTGGTGCAGTGGCATAGGCACAGCCTCGCGAGTGCGTGAAGAGGCATTGACTGCTCGTGATCTGGTTGATTTGGATTAGCTTTGTGTTCCAATAAAATTTGGACCACATCTAGATGTCGGTACTGGGCTGCAATATGCAACGCTGAATACTCGTACGAGTCGAGATTTACATCCACGCCTCGGCTCAGGAGTAGATTTATTGCAGTCACATTGCCAGACATGCAGGCCGCATGTAAGTACGTGTGTCCATTACCGTCACAGAAGTTTTCTCGTGGATTTTTCAAAAAATATTCTATGACCCGTAGAGTTTTCATTTTTGGATCGAATTCAGCAAAAGTACGTAGATACGCTTCCTCAATCAAACAATAAAGTGCCGATGATCCATCTTCTAACTCGACCTCGTATATATCGAGTCCGCTCGCCTCGAGTAATTTTATTACTCGCAAGTTTGGATTAAATACAGCAAATCCTAATATACGTTTTTTATTATCAGAACTCGGGAACAGACTTGTACAGTTCATGAAATCTATAAAAATTCTGTCCAACAATTCGCTTTCCGGACAACGAAGAGAATAATCATTAAGTAAGTGATAAAATTCTACGAGCCGAGTATCCAAATCCTTTATATTTTTTAATCTGTCGTACGTTTCTTGTTGAAAAGTTAAGTATTCATCGTTATTATTTGCCATTTTGACCTGAACTGATGCAATTATCAACTTGTGTTCGCTGAATTCTGAATACTGCAAGTAAAAAAACGAGCACGTGCAATGAATACCGCAGTGAAAGTTTATTATAATACTCCTTTCTCACCTTTAGCTCACTGCACAATTTTTTATCTTCAACTCACAACAAACACTTATGATATAATATCTAACGAATAGATAATTTCATGCAAGACAAAAAGTAACAAGTAGTTAAACTTCGTTGCCCCGAGCTTGATACGATGTGCTGTCGACCCCCCGTTTTCTTTCTCTCTAATATTTTGTCCGACAGTATATGGTTATATACCTAAGCTCGGTCTCTCATCATCATCGTCATTATTATTATTATTATTTTTGGCTTCGCGAATCGTCCGATTTATGTAATGCCTCGTTATATTATTATACAGTCGCGCGTAATGGTGATGTATGGTGGTGCGCGTCGAAAGCGAGGCGCTTGTAAACACGCGTATTAACGTACGCGCGATTCGTCGTTATTATATTACTTTTTGAAAGAAAAAAAAATAATAATAATAATAAAGATTCGCGCGATAAACGATCGGTATGTACACAACAATAATTATATATCGAACTAAATCAAGGTACTCGACCTGGCTGATCTTCATGCTAATTCAGGCATTGTGACGCTGTATATTTACGAAGTGAAAACGCCGCGTACAACAAAGCCAAGAAGAAGATCTCGCGCAGGACTTTTGTATATCTTTGAATGGGATGAAACCGTTGTGTAAATTTACACAAAATCGGTATATACACACGCGTGAAATCGGTTCGAGAACTCGAGCTTCAAGCCTCCATATACGTATATTTGAAATACCGATTCGCTCGCTGCGCTCCGTATATATATATATACACGATTATTGTGCATCGATTACAATCGGATACTCGGAAGAATCGAGTCAATAAACTCTCGCTCCTCCAGTCGCCGCCGTCGTCGTGTAAAGAGCAATTAGAATCGAGAGCTCGAAATACGAAGTCGAAAGAAAAGGTAAAAAAAAAAAGAAAAGGAAATCTCGTAATATACACACATCGTGTACGTACGTGTAATATAAGCGTATAAAAGTCATTAATTGCTCGCTGCACCAACACGTCGCTACTGTATCCTAATCTATCTCTATGCGCGCGTATGTATGTGTGTATTATGATATATATATATAGCCGTCGGGCCGGTTTTATTTATCTCAATCTCGGCGGCGGCTGTGTAATGGTACCGAGACTTTTGTATTAATTAAAGTCCACTCCACTTATGCGCAGTTGCGCTTATAGCTCCAACTTCGATGGTAGAAGTTCAGGGATTTCTTATTATGTTGAGTATAAAAACTACATATCCCCTTGAGTGATTGGCAAGGTCTTGGGATTTTTCTTTCTATACACTTCTTCTCGAGATCGCAGGGGTTAACGTATAAGGGTTTCAACGAGATAAACTCGTGGCGCGCTGGCTCGGTGACTCGGCCGAATTCGATACGATAAAGAGGTGTCTGTCTGCGTGCGTGGGTATACAATGGCGCACTGCTGTGCACACACACACACACCAGGCCATAAAAGCGAGAAAGTAATTTGAAAAAGAGAAAGGTTTGTGCAAACGCACATATAGTTCCCCTCCCTGTCGGAGCAGTGTATTCATTTCACATTCCCTTTCGTTTGTGTCTGCATCTCTCTCTCTCTCTGTATACACTTACTCTTCGAAGTGTTAAAGTGTTTTTTCGGGTCACCCGCTTATGTGTGTGTGTATAAATATATGTAGCTCTGCTTCTGCGTGCAATCGATGCCGTTATATACACGCGTGTACATTTTACAAGTGTGCACCTGACCGGGTTGCAGGTGCCACGTCATTGTCGTATAAATAAAATCCAAAATAATCTCGTCACGCCTCGTACACGTTGTAAAGGATGTCTATAAATGTATCTTTGGCTTTACGTGGCTTTCTATGAGATGCCCCATTTTCCAATGGAAATGCTCGAATGCTCGTAACCAAAAAATGACCGTTTAATATGTTGACAATTACTAGTTTTGTTTTTGCTACTTTAAAAATATTAAGCGTGTTATAGACAACCTAATGAAATGGCAAATTAATTGTTTCGAATAATTTAGGCTGGGATTCAACCACGTTGAATACTATAATACTACTTTGAGCTTTTGCCACTAGATGGCGAGTCCCTTTCTTTCGGTAAATCTGCAAGTGGATAGGTTCAAATAATTGTATAAGTCAAAGTGCAGTTTTGTCAACAGGTCGCCCTCTTTCATTAGCCATTGTCTGACGTCTATATGGCATGTAGAATCTAGCCAAATCAAAAAATCATCTCGTCAGCGCAAACTTTGACGAGGCAACGAATCTTTTTTTTTTCTCTCTTCCTCGCCGCAATTAATAAAAAAGTTCGCGCGCACCCGATCACGACGCCAGAGAGAGAGAGAGAGAGAGAGCATCGTGTCTCATCCTTGAGCCGACGATCGAATGATATCGGAAAGATTTCGGGCCTCTCGAGGCTACATTCGTAATCGCGTTCTCGAAAATGAGTTGCAATAATAATAAAAAAAAAAAAAAAAAAGAGTCGCTCGTAAATCTGCAAAATGAATTTCGGAAATTTTTCCAATGGGGCGCCAATCTTGTCCAGCGTAGGTGAATCCTTGGATTCTCAGCTGTATAACGATGCATTCGTCATTCGGTCGGAAGTATTAATCATACTTGTGTATACATTGTCGCGCGTCGTTATGATAAAATCATTAGACACGTATGTATATCCCCGGCTACGAATGGACATTTTCATTACGAATGTCTCTCTCTCTCTGTGGACGGTAGCAGCTCGAGTAATATGCAAACAGTTATCGTATTAATACATACACACATATATTCATGCGCCGCGTACTATACAAGTTGAGATCGACGCGCACGTCGATCGACTTTCGCAACATACATATGTCAAAGCAAAAGTTGCCCGGTGTACAACACACGGCATGCTAATTCATTCATCGCACGTGTGTGTGTGTGTGTGGTGTATAACGTTTATCGAATTTCCGCGTGCGGAGACCAACAGACCCAACGCTCGCGACGACAACCGCGTTACAATAAATAAATCGGCAAATAAATCGGTACTTATTACACCCATTATATACGAAACGAGTCGAACGAGCGCTGAAAAATCGATTCGGTTTGTTTCAACGCAGAGCTTTACTATACATCGATAAGAATTAGAATGCGGCTACGTTAGAAGTACAGTGTACATGATACACACACGCTTACTTGTATATCGGCATGTCATCGAGAGGCGCAAAAATCAAACGGTACGCACTACATTACGTGTATTAGACGGCGTAATATGAATCATTCGCGCCGCGTCGTGCGCTTACCGATCAAAGCTCGGATCGATCGAACGAGAGGCAGAGAATGAAACATTCTTACACCTGGTTCAATTTGTATTTATACACCACTGTAACGGTGAATTATTTCAACAATGCTCTGTGGTAATCGCGCGCGCGCATAAATTAGACAACGGCAGAGCAGCAGCAGCAGCAAAAAAAAGCAGAAGAACGAGTATATATATTATTATATTACATTATGCGAAGATGGATCAGAGACGAGCAGGCCCGCGGATATATATATAATAATACGAGATTCATGAATAATCCATATTATAATTTGTGTAATCTCGCATTTTTCGGCGTTTTGTACATGTGTACTCGACGTTATGGCGTTTCGCAATCGTGTATCGCGCATCTAAAAATACAACGCCGCCGCACGCGCGTCTATCCTGAAATTTTCGTTTCTCGCGAAACCATATTCACATATATATATTGTCTATATATAATTTATTATAAATGTAATAATATATGTCTCGCTTTTTTCTCCCGAGTCCGGCAATCGCCCGCTCGACCTTCGCTCGTGGAATCGGATTGCAGTCATATGTGTCTTTATAATAAGTACATATGTGAAAAGGAGCTGCTGCTCATCCTCGTCAAAGGTCGACAGCATGTCACGACGACGATGATGATGATATACATAATGCGCGCGTGTCAATCGAGTCTCTCTCTCTCTCGCGTGTGTGTGAGTGTATGGATGCGACATTTTTAACGCGCGGTGAATCTGCATTTTTTCTTTTTTTTTTTACACAATTCGAGTGCAAAAGCCTTGACAATAAATTACAATGTATGGGACACCGGTGTGTGTGTATCCCGCACCCATATCGCGTTCATTATCGCGTCTTTTCTTCATTATTTTTTTCTTCTTTTTGTCGTAAGAAGAAAAATAAAACTTGTATAAATATTATTCAAGTATGTGCATCCGTCGATAATTCGCGACGCATCTCCCCGCGTACGAAAATCTCGTACCCATTAAACCGAAGCCTGCGACTGACTGACAGAGCCGATGAGCGCGGCTCTGATGAAACTCTGCTCGTCGCGTTCACGAGACTTTGATTGACTTTTATATCTCGCGCGAGTCGCATAATGTATAGTATATATTTTTTTTTCTTCGCGACGAGGCGATATATTATAAAATATTAACCAAGCTCGAGCGAGGCTAAGTATATTTTCGTAACGTCATTGTATCCTCGTCAATCGGTAACTCGATGGGTCGGATTCACAACACAATATATAATAATAATAATAAATAAAGCCGGACCCTTTGGCGCCAATTTTACGTCACGATTCCAAAATCCACAGAAATTAACTATACATATACGCGGCTCAGTTTTTACATAATGACCCCCTCGCGCGTGCGTGGATAAACAGTAGTCCACTTCTGCGCGCACAATTTACTTACGCACGTCGACCGGCTAATATTTTCCCGCGAGCCCGAGTCATATCGGACGTCAGTATCGGTATTATCGCGATGTGTGTTTCTGTGCACTTTCTATTACTTATATATATATGAATATCAGCGCGGAGTGAGGCACGCGAACTTCAAGCCACATTATGCTACGTATAGAGAGAGAGAGAGAAAGCGATTTCGGCCTATTCCTCGGCGAGGCACGTAATACACGCGCATTCGCGATGTAACCGTATATAAGATATAATATAATGCATATATACACGAATGCGCGCACGCACACGTGAAAAATCAAAAGCTCGTGTGTTTACAATTGAAAGCAACGTCGAGAATGACCGCAAAAAAGAACAGAAGCAGTTCGAGGCGATGTTTCGGCCACGGACGTGTGTCGAGCGATAGATGAATTTATGTTGTTCTCCTTTTTTCATTATTCAATGTACTCTGCGATCGATCGCCGACAACAATGAGAGATGACGCTATAAACAATTGTCTCTCTCTCTCGCAGAAAACGAGAGAAAAAAAAATTGAAGAAGAAAAATAATGATTGAGCTTATACTGGCGTGTGGAGCCTTGGCATGTGTGTGTGCATTAAATCGGCGATACATCGTTTGTAACGCGCAGCAACAAATTAAGCTTTTCCGACGTACACAATGCGCGTATAATGTTATACCCGATATTACGGGATAATAATTTTAGTGCCTATACATAAAGACAGTGACATATTATGAGCTTCGTCGCGCGCGCCTCAACGTCAACGTCACTTTTGTCATATGTATGCGTACTATATACGAAGAAAATAAAAGGATTAAATTCTTCTCTGCTGTTGTTGTTGTTTTTTTTTCCTTCATTTTTGTTAAGACGAAAAAGATTCGCTCGATCTTCGAAGGATCGATAGCAATATATAAATCTCGCGTCGAAAATAAATGTGTCAAATGTCACTGGCGAACGCGTGACACATCCACCGTATATTATACAGGTCAAGATTCGGTCTATAATTCCGACGAAAAATTTTCAATTCCGCCACGAGGATTCGAGATCCGTGTCAAGGTCCGCGCCCCCGAAGAAGATCATCATCATGCTCGCCGAAAAAAAAAATCGTTATAATTTCGCGCGCGCGCGCGTTGACAGCGTCGCTGAAAAAAAAATTAAAGAATGGAAAGAAAGAAAAAATAAATTAACCAGAAAGACATTAGCGTTGTAACGCGTGTCGTGTAAAGTAGACGGAGAGGCTAATATACGCGTACATATCAGCCGGCAACGAAAGCGCGCGATGATGATTCGCGCGCGCGCGCATACTAGTGCGCGGCGGCGCCTTTCTCTTTTGCGCTCGCCGACTGCGGCCGGGTTGTCCTGTACTGTACGTATATCGTACGTACACAACAAGCGAAAGTGATCTTTTCTCTTTTTTTTTTTTTTTTTGCGCGCCAGTGTAGTGTGTGACCAGAGAGAGGTCGTTGTCGTTGACGGCGCGTTTAGTATTTGTTTATGTTTTTTTTCTCTTTCATTCTTGACGTTTTTGTTTCTTTTTCTTTTTTGTTCTTCGATGAAGACGTTAATCGAGTCTTGATGATACTAGTCGAGTTTACTCGGTCACACGGACACGGGACAAATAAAAAAGTAAGGTCATGAAAAGAACGCGACGATCCGCTTTTTGCGGTTTCGTCGAGGCGAGTAAAAATTCAGCGATTAATAATCTCTTCCTTGGCAAAGTCGACGTACCGATTTCCCTTTTTTTTTTTTTTTGAAAATGTAAACAGCGCCGCGTCCTTCCGCGTGCTGTACATCCCAATAGAGAGAGAGACCGAAGAAAATATATATTATTTATGCCTCGCGCAAAAAATAAAAACGCCAAGGACGACAGGTGCACCTTTATTTTAAGCCAGCGTGGAAGGCACGAGAGGGTGCAGGTCTCGGTGCAACTTGAAAAAAATAAAAAATAAATAAAAATGTGTACCAGCCCGCAGCTGCAAGCGCATAAAGCTGCATCGTCTGCGTCTGCGACTTTCGCTCGCTTTGCCGCGCGCGAGCATTCGAAGAATTTCGATGGTCAATGTCGCTCTTTGTTCATGGCAAATCCTTCAAAGTCTCATCTTTCAGCCAGTATTAATTGAATCAAATTTAATACTGATCCCTCGTAGAAATGTTCAACGCATTAATACCGGCCTCGTGGCCAAAAAATGAACATTTAATATTTTATTAACATTTAAATCTGGCTTTAAAATGTTGTTTCAAAGTACAGTACCATCAATCGTTTCTGCTTCAATTGTATTAAAAATCTTGAGCGCATTTTCAATCGCGATTTAGTTCTTTCCAAAATTTAGTGCAGTTCTTCGACACCACTTTGAATGCGATAATTTAAGCCCTTGCCACTAGGTGGCGAGGTACCTCTATCTGTAAATCCGCAAGTGGCAACGTCAAAATAATTGTATAAATGGTAAGACGGTTAAGACGCATACACGATTCTTTGCCACAATTGCCCAATATAATTTTTGCCATTTATATATTTCGTTGCCGCTGCACAAACCATTTATATATTTCGGGAGGGGACTGTACTGCCGCCTTTCCCGCGTGGGTCAATCGGCACTATATCGTTATTATTATTATTACACGCGGCACGAAAGTGCGGCACAATATATAAATAAATAAAAAAAACAGTACACACACACCGACTCCGAAAATCTATCTATCTCTGCAATAGGCGAAACTCTCCGTATGCGCACGAACGCTTAAAAGGCGATATATAAGTACTACACGCTTGGCTTGGCCTTTATAATGAGCTGCTACGTTTATATAATTCCCGTATACACACGCGCACACAATACCATACATTATCCTCGCGGTGCATTCAAATTTCGCCCTCTTATCTATCGGCGCGCGGTTGCATTACACGAAATCACAAAGGGATGTATATGGTAATCAATCAGGTGTCGACGCGGATTTACGCATATTTAAACACGCGTCGATTTCCGATTTCTCGCGTGTACCCCGGTTATAGGTATTATTTTATTCGATAAATTTTCGTTGGTTTTTTTTTTTTTTTGCTTCCCTCCTAAACATTTCAACAATAAACGCGGAATGTACATTATATTATACTGTGCAACGATTACGCGCGCGCAGCAACAACAGCGGCGGCGGCGGCCACCACGGGGCCACTTTGTTAATGTTGCACCATCGATCGTCGTATAGATGTATAAAACTTTCTCATTTTACTCGGATCCTTTTATACATTATATATCTATATAGAAGCGAACAGTTGCATATAGATATATCTATATTGTGTGTGTATGTATGTGTTCTTTTGTGTAATTGCAATTATTATTACATAAATAAAGCCGTGTAATCTAACGGCGCCTAAATGTGTGTTAGTGTTATATACACCTATTATGGCGCGGAATTTCCTTAGTCGAAAGCCTCTGCAGGGGAGATAGAGACAGACAGAGAGAGAATTCACGTGCTTTGGACGTTCTTTTAAAGAGTCGTAATACACAACCGCGAGAGAGCCCCGCGGTTAGGACTTTATATACACACCGCCTTAAGACATATCAGATGACATAATCGACTCTTTTTGCCTTTTTCTCTCTTTCTCTCTCGCTCACTCTTCTTTTCACTGTTTTTTTTTTTTTTTTTTTAAATATATTTATGTAAAAAAGAGCCGTGCGTGCAGCTCTGGCTACTCAGTGTCACGTATTTACACACATTTTTTAATCTCTCGAGTCCCGTCGAGCGGGTGAAAAGTTTTTTAACCCACAAAAAATCAAGCCTGGTTACGAATCTGCTAACCTTGGGAGTAAAAGTTTATTTTTGGGCACACGATATCACCGCGTGACTCGACGCTTTTGGGGGTGAGAGAGAGACGCGTTTCTCGACATATCGAGGGGAAGGAAATAAAATCGGCACGAGTATATCGGCTTTCGATAAGTAAACCGCGTATTCTCATTGCGGTTTTGACGATACGTACGTACGTACACACACTGACACTCGAGAGCTTTCACCTAAAAACACACTAAAAAAAAAGGAAGGAAAAAAAAATTCGGGTTTCTTGTTGTACATTCGATTAAAAATCCGTATACTCTAGGTGAAGGCAATATTACGCACATAACGATATCGGAATTTTCTAAAAAAAAATTCGTCACCCGAATTCGAAACTGATCTTTTTTTTCCTTCCTTCTTCTTCTTCTCCTTCGTATTCGTTCGTTCTTTTTTTTTTTTTTTTGGTAAATATTTCGAATCGTCAGCTTTCACTTCGTATATACACATTTTATACATGCGTAAACGAGACATCGTCAAAGGAGAATTTTTCATTCGCTGTCGAGCGTCAGTAGCGACCGCAACGGGCCCGTAATACCCGCGAGATGATGCAAGACAACACTCGACGCGCTCGGTATTATAATACTGTCGATACGAAAATATTTGAATCGAGAGAGGATAATTAAAAAAAAAAAAAAAAAAAACAGGAACAATAAAAGCAAAATAATTAAAGTGCATCGAAGAGACGATACTTTCGCGCATTTCCCTCCCGGCTAATTACGTTCGCGATGCAACGATACGTAATGAAAGTTCATGCGATTCGATGATGCACGAAGCTCGCCGTATGATTAAATGTATCCTCTTCTCTCTTTCATTGACCTCTACCCTGTTTTTCCGTTGTTATTTTTTTTTCTCGCACGCACACACGCGTAAACACACACTCGTTCTAAGCAAAGTATCTCCATATATACTCACTCTTCAGCGCCCAAAGCTCCTGACGCTTCAGGCTCTCGAGGTAGGTCGTCACGTCCCTGCGGCACTCGGGCCCGATGCCGAGCAGCTCGCCGCCGCGTCGCGCCCAGTTCCTGGCCAGATTGCGGGCGCTGAACACGTCCAGCGCCTCGGCCAGGGTCGTCCAGTTGCCCGAGGCGTCGAACACCGGATCACCGTTACCGGGCACAGAGGCTGCTGCTGCTGCTGCGGCGGCATCGTCGTCGTGCGTCGTCGGGACGATCGAGTGCAGACCGATCGACGACGCCTCGCCGGTGGCCTGGACCAGGACCGATCGGTCGATCGGTAGCAGACAGCACACCACCACCACCAACAGCACCAGTGGCAGCGGAAACGATCTCATCTCGATCCTTTTCGTTTTTTTTTTTTTTTTCTATTTCTTCAACCCTCTCGTCTCTCGGATATTGTGTATCGATCTTCGGTGACGGCGATCTCGATGGGGCGATAGCGGAGGAGACGAAGAGTATTATCGAATCGGACCGATTCAGAGAGCGGAACTACGACTGGGAGGCATCGTTTCGCATATATCCGTGTACTTTTTTTGTATTCGTCACTCGCGCACTTCTGTCGTATTACTTTTGTATTATTATACGTATATATTTACGATCACCCGTCAACCGAGAAGAAATTTGGACGCCGAATACCACCGCGAACTGATCACAAAGTTATCATCGTCTCCTGCTCTCGAGCAAGTCATCACTTTTTTGCTTGTTTTGTTTTTTTCTTCTTTTTGTTTCGATCCCCCAAAATTCCGTTCGACCACGTTTACTACCACGTATCACGACAAAATGATATAAATAATTTTTCCAATTATTTAATTCGATCGCGCACTACTGGACTTGATTAAACAAAAAAAAAATCGTATACGTTATTGTATACAACGGACTTGCGCGAGTAGCAGCAACGGGCAACGGACGAAATCTTCCTCGGTGTCGAAGCCGAGGAGAAATGATTTCGAGCCGGTGTAGCTCGATACTCGCAGGCCCCCTGACTGCTTGGCCTGACTGTGTGGCGCTCCTCGGCTACCCATAAAGCCACACACACACACACAGACAGGCATATAAGCACAGACAGGTACACACGGAGAGGCGGCCGAACATTCAGCAGCGGCACAGGCACAAGTGTATAATAGCCGAGCCACGTGCTGTATGGTAGGGGCAGCAGCAGACTTATGTGAGTGCGATCGTGTCTGCTGCTCGCTTCGTTACATATACACGTTATATGTGTGTGTATGTGTGTGTGTGTGTGTGTGTGTGTGTGTGTGTGTGTGTGTGTGTGTGTGTGTGTGTGTGTGTGTGTTGTACCTGTGTGTATGTATGGAAGCGGCCTCGATTTTTTTTTTTTTTTTTTTTTTTTTTTTTTTTTTTTTTTGATTAATAAAAAAAAAAAAGGAAAAAAAAGCAGGTTTTCGAGTGAGGAGAGCAGCGCGCGCGAGAACCACGATGCCGCATGTACATCTATAAATTCTAGAGAGAGAGAGGGAGCGAAGGTGAAAAATTCTTCTTTTTTTTGGAAGGAGTTACGCGAGTCGTTGCATAACGATGCCGGAGATTCTTTTTTTTTTTTTACGGAAAAAAATGGGATATAATCGATCGCGTCCGGACACGGTACAGGAGCTGCGGCTGTCGCTGCTGCTTTATAGGACACGAGCCAATTAATTTTGAGGAACGTTCGAGCGATGACTTTGTCATAGGTAAGGTATCATAATATCTTCCAAATGTTTTATAAATAAGTTTGCGGATCTATCCTCGAAGTCGATGTGCAAAAATACGCGATGTATCCACGTGTGTGCTTAACGAGCCCGATATAATCCTAAGAAATCGCGTTGATTATATACCGAGACTTTTTTAATACAAAAAAAGGAAGAGCGTACAAAAAAATGTATATCGCCAAGGTATTCCGCGTTGCAAATCGAGCGAGTCACCGACATCGACTCGTTTTTCTTTTGCCTACTTGATACAATTACCAACTCATAACGTACATCTAATTTTATCTTTATCGAAAGTAGGAAATTTCGACAAAGCAAAACAAAAAAAAAAGAAACGAGTGAAAAACATCGTTGAACGCATCGATTCGGGACCTATAGGGGAGAGCGGGGCAAGTGTAACTTGCGGGGTAATACGACTTCTTGTTTTTTTCAATGATAATGATTTTTTAAATAAATTTTTTCCCCACATATTGTTGAAATATACTTGTAACTATCGATTGCATGCAAAAACGACGCGAAAAAACGTTTATTTTATTAATTTTAGCTCGAAACAAAAATACGCTAAAATTATTACAAAAATTTCTTATTTCACACTTCTGTATCTTTTTTGATAATGATTTTTATGCTACCGCTTTTTTTTCATAAGAACAGTCATGTCTTCCCGATGAAAAGGCTTTTTTCAAAATTTCATTAAACGCAATATTTTATGAAATATTTAATTTTTAAAAACATGTCTTAATGGGGCAAGAGTAGCGCCTGAAGCGGGGCATTAGTGTCGCGGTACGCCAGGCATTGCGACGATTCGTGACGGCGGTCTGCTGACTTTTCGTTCAAACTTAACCTCATTTTACCGTGTTGTTGTTTTGCTCGTCGCCGATCGCAATTATTAACTCAATACAAAAACGATTAATTTCACAATGATAGTATGAAATTCAATGCCTTTTTCGAATCCGGGTTCAGATTTAGGATTAAAAACGTAGTAAAAAAGCTATGAATATCTAAACAAAACAAGCAGTAAAAATTTCTGCAAAACTTAAACTGAAAATGATTTTCAAAGTTTTACGATGAAAAATTCCATAAATATGATCAAAGTTTGTCATAGTGTAATTGTATCTCAGAAATTTTCACAGACTTTCAAATTAGCTTTTTCTAGCAAAACGGCATTCCCGAAGTTAATTGTTTATACAAAAAAATCCAATTATTTTTTATCGCAAAAACGATTGATTTGAGTAATAAATAGAACGAATAAGTTGTATAATTAATTAAAAAACATCCGTAAATTTTTTCAATATTTTTGGAGAAGATTGTTTATTTCCCGAAATTACGGAAAATCTAATTTTCTAAGGTCATCTCAGAAAATTTCGAGGATTATCCTCTAAACTCGATTTTTTTCGAATAAAAAATTTTTTGAATATTTTAGAGATTTTGTGTTGTAAAAATTTGAATCATAGCTAAAAATTTACACTTACATGTTTATGTATTCAACTTTTTTCATAATTTTTCAGTTCATAAACAAATTACGTCTATTAACAATGTGCGCGCAGACAGTATCAAGCATGAGCAACCTACTTCTCTAGTGCGCTCTTCTTGCCCCGCACCCCAGTTACTCTTACCCACGCTGGGGCAAGAAGCACTGATTTCAACGCTTCCTTTATTTTGGTTGTCATTTAATTAATATGCAAAAATTATGACTTTTGACTATTGCATTGTATTCATTGACTTCTCATCTTGATATTGGTCTGTTTAAATTTTCATTTATTCTTATTACAAACTTTATATTGAGCATTTTAGTTAGGTGCGTCTACGTGCCCCGCTTTCCCCTATATATTGGCGCGTTGGACACTCGCGCGAGTCCGCGACCACAATATCCTGCTTACATTGCTAATAATTCTCCGCGGCCCGCACACAAGCACAAGGTTAATTGAGTTTTTTTTTCGCGCGAAAAAATCGCTGGGACGCGACGACGTGCCTCGTGCGTTTTCGTCAAAGCGCAATAAAATACACACACGCACACACACACGATGTGGTGGCCTATCGATTTTTACGCGGCTAATTGGTCAAGGCGTCGACCCATCGCTTTTCAATTTTCAACTCGCGGTGAATCGTAATATACACAAAGACGTAGAAAAAAAAAATTCAATCAGCGAAGAAAATAAACGAACTAAAGTTACGACTATATATGAAAAATCGCCGTTTATATCGATCGACGTATTATAATGCATTTATATATTAAAAGAGTAATCGATGTAACGCCGCGGCGATCGTGTGCGGCTCGCGGACTTAAACCTAATCCCCGCCGTCGAATAAACGACACATATATTTTCCAATAGCAAAATCCGGCCCGCCGACAAGATAAATTTTTCCAAACGCCTATGTACCGTATCGCCGCCTTCATTAAACAACAAATCGGATTAAAAATAATAAGCCCCGACGCGTATCGGGGCATTTTCACTTAATCTTATAAACATTATAACGAGCGAATTGCTATATGCGCGGGAAATTCGTAATGCACATATATATCTGTACACACATGGGATATATACAAACGAGCGTGTGGAGCATATAATGGATGCAAATTCATCCGTATGTGCGTTACATACGCGCGCGCGACTTTCTCTCGGACTGTGTCACGTTATATTATAATATATATAATAAATATATACGAGACGGACGTCGTCGTCGTCGTCGCGAGCCGATGGGCAAGTGTATTATTATCATTTTTATCGTCATCATCATTATTATTATTTATAATTCATCGACGCTCCAACGGGTATACGATTCAATTAGCGGCGATCGTGGGCGGTGTAATGTCTCTCTTTCTTTCTTTTTATGTATGCTACCGGCTGTGCCGCGCACGATCTCGACACAAAAGAATGCCTCGTGTATATTATTGCGGATCTCGGCGGCGATTCATCCACGCGCGTGGATCGTAATTGCCTATGCGTCTTGTGGAATTTCGCGCGACGACACTTCGCTACCATAGTTTATATTAATATTAGCCTGATAACCAGAAAATGACAATTTAACATTTTTTAAAGTACGTGACTATTTATTGACTTGGTTTTTTAGATATTTTCTTAAAATCGCGTTACAAATATTCAGCCCATTTTAAACAACCGGACGGAATTCGGACGAGTAGTCAAGCACTAATACGGTAGTATTACTTTGAGCCTTCACCACTAGGGGTCGTGTAACAATTTATCTGTAAATCTGCAAGCGGCAGAGTAAAAATATTTATATAAGTTTAAGCACGGTGACCACTTTAGAGCATGATATTGTGTAATCCAGTTTTGACCGCCAGATGGCGAGTACCTTTATTTCTGTAAAACAGCAAGTGTCAAAGTACATATAATTGTATAAGTCAAAGCGCGATTTTAATAAGTGTCGCAATATGTTATTTGTTCTAATGGCTTTACAATTGCTCGAGAATTTTTGTTTTTAACGAATGCAATACTCAATACAACGACGCTCGAATCGCAAGCGTATTATATTTATAGAGTGAGAGAGAAAAGGAAAAAAAATTGACCGTACGTTTTCGAAACCCACGTGCGCTGCGCGTATAATATATGTATACAGATTCGCGTGCCCAAGGCAGAGAGCTCTGCTTATTATTCTTTTCATAACAAAGAGTCGCGAGACTCAACTCCGATCCGGAAGTGTATGTATATACATACGATATAATATGTATAATATACTTATGTTGTATTATTATACACGCCGAACGTCGCACGAGAGCCGCTGCACTCGTCGGACTCGATTTCTCATAAACAAACATTGTAATGTACGAACGACTTTGATTTATCGCGGCTCGTAATATTACGAGGAATCGAAATTGATATATTTCGCGCGATAAGACGCGAAATGTATATATCACAACAATTGAGAGATTAGAGGGACATTTAAATACTGCAGTTAATGAAACTATACGCAGATGCAAAACCTGTACGACATTCACAAACCGAAAATTGCGTAACGCGTCGCTGTATCTCGCTCGCTTTACGGGGGAGAGAAGAAGAAGAAGAGGTGGAGGAGGAGGAGGAGGAAAGAAAAAATTAATGCCTAAATGTGCTTATCCCAAAGTTCAATCCTAGCGTTACGGTATATACATCGATGTATATATGCACGTACCTACAATATACATACAGTTAATGCGTACCTATGTATACCGCACCCGCTTTCCAAAGTTAAAATCGCGAGAAAGCAGCAGCGGCGGCAGTGGCACATACTGCAGTGCTACATAGCGAGTGAATATAAGAGAGAGAGAGAGAGAGAACCCAT